ATAAAATCAGCAATCTGTGTAGTATCGGAGTGAACTGTGACTGTTGACATGTTGTAGTCTGTGACACAACTCAGTCTATCTCGAATTTGAACGGAAATACGGAGAGATGATGAAATATTATTATTGACAGCTGGCAATCTTAATTGAATGGATGACAATGATGTGTAGCCAAGAATCGTTCGTTCATTTGAATTTGTTGTCCAACCTTTGGGAATGAAGATGATATTTTTCTGTGTCAATGCAATGAGATAACATACTGTAGAATGAATAATCTTGAATACCATCGTCATCTATCCATTGAGAACAAGTGATCGTGAAGAGAGTGGATGTTGTACCATTAATTGGAGATATGGTACATGAACCATTTTGAGGTGGTGTGTTCACTTTGAAGTTCATTGCACTGAGACCGATCTGTTGCGGAAACGAATAGGCCACTTCGAATCGCCAAAATTGAATCGAAGTATAAGCGAGAAACAAGTTGTTGGTGGCAGTGAAATTACTTGTGTTAGAGCCTTTGAAAGGACGAATCAATGAATTCAGAGAGAAGAAGTGAAGGCGAATTACCAAAGAACCATATATTTTGGTATTGCTGGGCTTGCCCGAAAAGTGTCCATTGCATGGCATTGGTGGACGCGTTGATGATTCCGTGATAGACATTCCATGTGATGTTGTTGATCGGCATGCATGTACCGACGCAAAGAGAGAAGAGAGCAACTTGTGTAGTCGGATTGACAAATTGATATTCTTGATTAGGAACGCACAGACTAGAGATGACACAACTAGAGAAACAACTTAGTTGTTAGAGAATACGATGGAAATGAAAGAGAACTCACGAAATGGCAATTAGTTCGGGCTGGCTGTCTTCAGTTTGCACAAGGAGATAACCTGTTGCTTGTCTAGATGAATTGAGACGATTTTCGAGTTGAACCATGAACTGATATGTTTGATTGGATGTGAGCGCATTGGGGAGAAGGGTTAGTGCAGACATGCGTGAAGACGTAGGCCCAGTGTAGTTTAGTTTTGATGTGCTACCTGATCGTTGCGATACGCATGACGGATTGACAGTATCGACTTGTGGATCATCGATAGTAAGAAGATTTCCACCAATGTTTGGAAAGTTGTATTTATTGTAGATTCGACAAAAATATTGGTATTTCCAATTCTAGTTCGATAGGCAAGAGAGTGAAGAGGTGAAAGTGCAAGAGAGTTGACATACGGTAGCATTGAACGTCAGCGCATCTGGATCGACTGAAAACAATCCAGGATCAAGAGTGAGCTGTTGTTGATATCCTCGTGTGATCATTGAAGTGCCGAATTGAATGAGATTCGGTGTGATGCCGGATGGAATAATTTTGATGTATGCAGAGGTCGATGACGAGAGATGAGAAGAAGCAATCATAGTAACACTGAGTGTGAACTGATAAGTTCCATAAGTCAGTGTTTTGCCAGGAATGAATAGTTCAGTTGAAGTCGTGATAAGTGTTTGTGGCAGTTGAATGGGAGAAGAAGAGCAGGTTGAAGTGCAGTTGGTGATGATCCATTTTATAGTCGTCGAAAGTGAAAGACTACAATTCAGTTGTAGATATGAACTGATGGAAAAGTCTTGACTTCGCCGATACTGTAATGGCGACGAGAGTGAAGAAGTACTCGGAATCAGTGTGATGATGGGCGAAAAGCAATCTACAAATGTAGAATATAGTAGGTGCGATGCTATTGAAAATGGAAGAGCCGAAGAGCATACTTGTATTAGATGATGGCAATGAGGGTGTTAAAGCCGTGCTTAAAACCGAAGACGTATCGGCAGCGGTGGATGTTGATGTTTCTATCAAAATGAATTAATAGTAGGTTTTACTTAGATTTGAAAAGAAAGGAATAAAAAAGTTACTTATATTAGGAAAGACAATTAGACAACAATAGTAGCGACTAACGATGCGCTTCCTAACAGAATCCTTGTGGCTAATTTATGATCTTGTGTATGATATGAGCATGTGTCTCTGCATTTTATGCTCAAATGATACACAATAAAGGCACTTAATCATCGATTGTGCGAAGAGAAATGTGCTTAAACTTACCGCACAAACTTTTCTCTAAAGTGAATAGCTGGATTCGAGAGTTTCCGTAGTCGGAAACATAAATATTTCCGTTACTATCGAATGCCATGTACCGAGGATTATTTAATTTATCGGATGCTGATCCGCTAGAACCAGAACACCCAGCAATACATTGAAAACCATCTGGTCCTGAGCCAATTATACGGCTACCACATTGATCAACAATAAACAAATAGTCATCATTATCTAAGACGATATCCGTGGGGCAATTTAATGTGATCGTTCCTGGCGCACCAGAGCCAGCAACGGTTGTCGCGTTCTTTTGTCCTGATTGAAAAAGCTGAACTCTTCGGTTTCCATAGTCAGCCACATAAAGATCAAAATCTGCGTTGACAAATATACCTATCGGTATTGCCAGTTCATATGATGTTGATCCACTGCAACCTGTACCAGCAACAGTTCTTAATGAACTGGACGTATCACTAAGTGATTTAGCTACGACTTCGTTAAAAGTGGATATAGAGCAATAGAGGGTATTGTTACTGTCGATAAAAAGATCAAAACAGGATTGTGGAACGTCCATAGCTGAAACAGCATTTGATGCATTCATCGGCCATTTACTGACCCGACCGTAACGACCACCATTATCAACATAAATGTCTCCAGAATCGGTAACAAAAAAACCGTAAGAGAAGCTTTGAGATTGAGATATATTTTTCGACATCGTAATATTTCCTTTCAGCCACATATAAAGAATCCCATAGTTTCGGTCCATGATATAAATCGTGTCGTTCGTGTCGACAAACACATTCCATGGATACATTCCAAATGTACTATGGTTAACAAATGTAGTTGCATTTACAGTCCACGAAGCATTTACGCAAAGTTTTGGTCGATTATAAGATATACCTGCAGTGAAGGAAAGTGAATGAGATTCATTGCAACACTAGCTGCATGTATCGATAAGATTTCACGAGAAGAAAAAACAAATGCCTACCTGTTTTATGAGAAATGGATTGCATGTTTGTTGTATTGACTAATAGAGTAACAGTAATAAAGTGACAATAAGAAGTAACAGATACAATTTTACTTACTGATGCTAACAGATGGTGTCGATGTTTGGTATGTGACAGTTGTAGCGTCTAAATCAACACAGAAAAAGATATCGTATAAAATCAGTCACTTATTTATTTCGGATATGTCTTCTCTCAAATTCCATTAAGTGACATAAGGTAATGCTTTTTGTCACTGTATGAACTTCGAACTCACCACATGAATTGGTAGCCAGACGAAATTTCTGGATGCGGTTATTGTTACTATCAGCAACAAAAATATTTCCATATATATCAAAAGCCATAGCCAATGAATAAGATAGTTGATTAGCCGCTGAACCACTCGAACCAGTGCATCCAATTACACATCGAAAGCCGTGAGAACTGGATCCTACGATACGATAATTGTTGGAATCTACAATATATATGTATCCATCAGCGTCAGCTATCACATCTGTAGGGTAATATAATGTGATTGTTGCAGGTGCCCCCCAACCAGCAATTGTCGTTGTATTTCCGACTCCCGAACGAAAAAGTTGAACTCGATGATTTTGGTAATCAGCCACATATAGACCGTAACTTTTATCAAGAAATATTCCCTTGGGATAATATAGCCTATTACCCAAAAATCCAGAGCAGTTACCACCTGCAACAATTGCTGTTTGATTATCACTACTATTCAATGATCGTTTGATGACTATATGATTATTAGATAAGGAACAGTAAAGTGAATTGTTTTTGTCAATAAAAAGACTATAGCATGTTCCACCCGTATATAATGACGACTGATTGCCTGCTTGATTTAGCAGCCAACTGGTCACATAATTGCTATTATCATCGACATAAATAGTACCATCATCTGTAGCAAACAGACTTATTGGATAACTATTATTTCGAATAGCAATTGTTATTGGAGGCGAAGAGTCGTTGATCCATACTTGAACAGAACTCATTTGTCGATTGGTCACGTAGATCTTATTGTTTTGATCAATAAAGACTACATATGGATATGAACCAATCGTACTACTGGTTGCAAAAGTAGTTGCAGTTGCATTCCATGTTGCAGCAGGGCAAAGCTTGGGCTGATTCATAGATGTGCCTATTTGGGAAAAATGAATACATGTAAAAGCTTAATTGGAAATATTACCTTCGACTCGTTTATCAACCAGCAGAATGATGATGCTCAAAAAGAAACTATCAAGTGATAGCATCCTATTGCAACTCCGACTTGATCTGTGTGATATTGCAAGCGAATTTGATAAGAAAAGTACGGAAATGACAAGTTTTCAGTTGCTGCATATACGTATTTAACTTTATTCGGAAGTGGCAAGGTAAATATCAATGTTTTTCTTTATAGAAGTTAAAAATTCTCAATCGAACAAAGAATAAGAAAGATAAATTTACACCTATCGTTCGATGTACCGTCTGCAACCAACGCAAACATCGTAGATTGATAGAATCAGTAAATAAAATCAAAGATTCTCTGACGTCAATCATTCACGAAGAAATAAAAAGAAACATCCGAGAAGAGAAAGTCAACTTTAAAAGTTTTTACGAAAGATGTTTGACGATAGTTCCGATATACAAGTTAGCAGATTCATTTTTAATGATGTTTGATTGGAAAACGATCTTGGAAAATCTCGGCGAGAAGAGTAGAATGGAAAACAAACAATTTCACTTCTGAAATATTGACTTTGCGAAGTTCTTCGATTTATTACAAAATGTTGAATTATATATGCTTTTCACAAACACTAAAATCCCACTGTTCCCTGTTTCCCTCTAGAAATGATCTCAAGCTGTACTTGTTTGACCTTTTGTTTCGTTCAATGTTGTTTCTGATTTGTTGGCGAACGTTATCATTCTTCATAATATTATGAAGATCAAGTCGAATGAGTTTCTATGTAGAGAAAACAGTATGGAAAGCTAGAGCATCGGCTAGCCGGCGTGCTTCGTAGTGACCAAAAGGATTCGACCCGATCAAAAATGTGTTAAGCGTCTACAAGAGGAAATTGTAGATTGATAAACGAAAAGAGAATAGCACTTACTTGATTCTTTCGTAGAGCATTGCCCAAGTGTTGTGATCCAACATCTTCCACAGAGTTATTTTTCAGGTATAACCTACTGAGCTTCTATACAAAGCCATGCAGCTGTAAATGTACAACGTATGAAAAATGGAGAAGAATTACCGTGTTATCACTTATCAATAGATCAGCGAGGTATTGTGCTCCCTTAACTCGAATATCAGCGTTTGCAAGATCTAGCACCGTCAATGTCTGCGTGGATAAGATCGAGGTAATAGTATGAAATGAAATGGAAGAAGAAGCGATAAGAATGACTGACTGTGTTATTTTGTAGGGCTTCAGTCAAATGTTGGACTCCATCATCTGCGACTAGATTAAAGCCGAGATAAAGTTCAGCAAGAACCTATTGGAGGAGAATATCATTTAGGATACAAAAGATAATATGAGAGTTACTGTATTGTTTTGTAATGCATCAGCTATGTACTGTATTCCGTCAGTTTCAATACTGTTCTTACTAAGGTTTAATCAAGTGAGACTCTATCGAGAAAATGATCAACAAAAGAAAATAATGGATTTTAAGAAGTAGTACTGTGCCATTGTTTAATACATTTGCCAGATATTGTGCTCCCGTACATGTGATATTATTACTTTCCAGATATAGTGCAGTGATGGTCTACGCAAGAGAAGAGTACAGATAATTACAATGTCACAGATTAATAAGATAAAAGGAAATACTTTACTTTTGTGTAATGCTTCGGCCAGACCCTAAACTCCAACATCCGTGATTACGTTTTCAGTGAGATCCAATGTAATGAGTGTCTATTCAAAGAATGAGTACTGCGATACGAGATACCTGTCATTATGTACTGTGTTATTTTCTAACGCATTAGCAAGATATTTTGCTCCCGCATCTCCAATTCGATTATCTTGCAGTTTGAGGATCGTAAGCACCTGTAAGTAAAGTTATCAACATACTTCGACTCAGAATGAACATTACTTTGTTCTGGCGTAAGACATTACTTAGATGCTGTGCATCTACATCTTCAAGACTATTACTTGCGAGTCGTAGAAAAGTCAACGTCTATATTAAAATATATGGATTATGGTATCAAACAGATAGAAAAGTAATGTGAAGTACCTTGTTATCATGTAATGCAGTAGCCAGATGATTGAGTCCAGCTGTTGTGAAGTCATTACTATAGTGCATTTCATTTGTCAAATTACGTGTGAAGAAAATGAAAGTTACCTGGTTGCCTAAAATCTAGCTGGAGTTTTATATCTACATCTCCAACTTCTTCAGAAAATAATTCGTGGAGTTTAGCGACCAAATGCTGCTTATCTTCCGGAATTGTTATCGCCATAGCTCCTTCTCTCTCATGAATTCATAACGAATTGTCCACCATAGAGACTGCAGCTCCACCAATGATACATCCAAGAACAGCAGGTCTGAGAAATCGAGTAGTGTAGAAATCGTTAATTCGATTCGAGTATTAAAACTTTATTTGAATTCTAAATCTTTTACTTTAGAATTCGAGTATTCGAGTTGTACACTATTCAACTTTTCAACTTCTAAATGTAGAATTCCAACTTTCGAGTTTTCCGCTTACCAACTCCTAAGTGATTGATCGTAAATCCTAGAGTGACTGATTATTAACTATTATCTAACTGTTAATTAAATATTAACCAACCGATTACTTATTATCAATCAACGGAATATCAAGTAATCGGCATCTGACTATTAAATACTACATAATCATTTATTCACTATATGACTATGACTTATCAGCCAACTAACGGTAACAAATCCCGTTCACATTGACCTTAACTATGCCGTTGTAGGCTGCACCCTCCCCAACACCCACACCCTAATCAGTATGATCACCAATCCTAATGACTTGCATTACATCATCTACCATTGTACGATCTTGTCTATTTATGTTTTCGAACAAATTCGATTAGATTTTGTGATAAATAGCTTTCATGATTGATCTTCATTAGATTAAGACGCAGAGCACATTGACACTTCAAACTTAGAATAACTTTCCGTTTGAATAATTCGATCAATTGAGAATTTTCCGTACAATCCAAAAGCGTCTTGCCTTGCTTATTAACGTAATCCGGATGAAACCGATTTGTACGCAAAAATATGTCCAATATTTTTTCTGCGATTGTCAACTGTGAATCTGAAATATTTCGAAAAAGAATGTGCAAAGGTGTATTTCCATTGATATCAACAGCATTAACATCAAAATCACATTCGATCAATAACTTGACAGCATCAGCACACAGAAAACTAAAAGAAGAATCGAGAATGATAGACTTATTTTTGGATTACTTTGTACATACGAGATTTCGGTTTGTGATATTTTGACACTAAAATGTGGATGACAAAATAAGTGTAGAAGTGTTGAACAATCAAATTTTCTGAGAATATTTAATCGATTGATCCATTGTATTAATCTACACAGTTGTTCTTGTTCATTCGATGTGAAACTAATCTATGAAAGAAATCCTAAATTTTTATAAAATCTTATCTTCTTCTCGATCTTACCTTCGTAGAAACATAAATTAAAAATAAAATGCTGTTCATATAGTAATTATGTGCAATTTGCATCACTTTTTCCGGTGCTGCAAGTAATTTCCGATATAGACGTCGAAACCGATCGATTGATAATTGAAAACATTCCAAAAATCTTCTTGTTGGAATAAATACATTTCCGAAGGACAGTATTTCCAAGTATACTTCACCAATATCTCGTGTTACCTCGGAGATATAAGACATCCTGTCTCGAATATGTCGAATATTTATATTCATATCATCATTGATAATAGAAAACTGTAATCCACGAAGGCTCAAATCAATACCACGCTCGTATTCAGAATTTGAATAACATAACCAACTTTCTATCCGAATACAATCTAGTAATTCCATATTGTTTTTCGATGACAAAAGTCGTTCACAAATCAGCAATGCTTCAAGACGAAGTCCATCACTGTTATAGCGAATTGATTCAAGTTCCGCAATTGAGACGCATTCAACATGGTTTTTATAGACTGAAATCGGTTTATTCGGTGTTTTTTCGATTCCATTTGACATTCTCAATACCATTGCTTGCATTAAATATTGATAACCTCTGTCATAATGCTGAAGTTCATGTCTAGCACACAAAAGTGAAGCTCCTAATAGTTCTAAGATATCGATTTTATCTCGAACTCGAACCATATCTTCAACATTCAATGAATAATTCACAATCTCTTCACGCAGATCAACAGCAGCGATTTCCAAGGGAGTCATCATCTCATCATTTTGAATATCAATTCGAGCGTTGTATGACAACAGAAGTTTAATAGCATCGATACGATTCATTATGACAGCATAATGTAATGTTGTTTGTCCGCCATTAGTCTGATGGTTAATATCTGTACCAGGTTGCTTAAAAAAATATTCAATTAATTGTAAATGACCAAGAATTCCTGCCATATTTAAACATGTCACATTTCTCTTGTTCGTTCGATGAACATCTGCGTGTGCTTCTTCAACTAAATATTGCACAATATCAAATCTGCAGAGAATAGTTGCGACATGTAATGGTGTTGTATCGTAGTCACTTACAGTATGAACATCAGCGCCATGTTCGATTAGTAATTTGATTAGATCTAAATTCCCTGCACATATAGCTGCGCATAATGCGCTCATCTCATGGTGTAACGAAGATCTACATCGAACAGAACCTTTCATCTCTAAATCGATGGATTTTCGAAATTTACTTAACAACATTCGAACGAGATTGGCACGATGTTTAAGTATAGCAATCATTAATATTGTACATCGTTGATTGCGTTCATATTTGTACAAGTGATTGAAGCATAAATTCGATTCGTCTTCAGTGGAACATAATTTGAATAGAAGGATTTCTAATGCAAGAAGATCTTCATCTGTTTCACCAAATAGTGAAATCATTACGTCGTACGATCTTTCTCTTCCGTTCGCCATAACACAAAATGATTTTTACTTTATGTGAAATTTCACAACATCGTCAATACAGACTTGGATTTATCATTTGAAATATGATCGTGTGTACACACATTATGACTCATCGATTCGTGAATATGATGAAATGTTTTTTTTATTGATAATGAAAATTTGTTCTGTTATAGTCGGAGTATTCATAGATGTCTTTCATTCAGATTCTATTGCATCTAATTTTGAATTGATTTCACTCAAAAGATTTTCTAGATTGGAGACGAAAGGTGGCGGGATATTGTCGATAGCTTTTTCGAAAAATTCGAGTGTCTCATCTAAATTTCCCTCAGCTGGTTCGCCAGCTTTGATGTAGAGTCGAGGAAGTTGTTTTGCGACTGTTGATTAGATTCTGTAGATTTCTATTCTCATCATTTCGCAATTGTTGCATTTTGTTCCAAATATGACTGAGACTTGTTCGTTCGTCATAAATCACCTCTTCTATCGGTTTAGTAAATAAACTTTCGCATTGATTGATCATCCAATAATATTAAAGTATATCCAAGACAGCTCATCGAATTTTTTCAGCTGGAGAAGCTGCTATTTCCTCGTCGTTTTCTTCGACTTGATCAAAAAATGTGAGATTAACATGTACGATTTACTTGTAACTTTCACCCTTGTGATCAATTTCTCCATACGTTGTTTATCCGTCTCATCTGGGTATAAACGATAACGATAAATTTGCAGTATAATGAAATACGCTGCTGTCTGGAATGTTGTCTCAAATTCGTTTTGATCTTCTGAAGCTTGAAAACAAGCTTCTGTTCCTTTACGATACCATTCAGTCCATTCATCATCTTGATCACATTGAATATATATATCAGCTGTTTTTTGTCAGAGATATGCTGAATCATTAAGCGATATTAATATATATTCCGAGATCAATGAAGTCGAATCTTTGATATCGTTTGTTTTTTCGATGATTGGATTCTGTTGCAATTGTTGACTGTGCAGTACAAATGCACGTTTCTCGAAAGCTTTCTTGTCGAACGATGGAAAATGTAAATCGAGCTCGGATCGAATTTCTGCATTCTTTTCAATGAGATTTTTGCAATAAGTTATTATTTCTTCTTCATCGCCCAAATATCGGAATGTTTCAGCGATCTGGAAAACCGTTTGTTCTAAATCATATCTAAATATTCCGGTTTTTTTCTTGGCAATTTCTTCAGTAACTTCCTTTTGAAGAGACAATGGATTTGCCGCACATTTAGCATGTATAATCGCCTTGAGATATGGATGATCGTTAGGAACCAATTGTTTTGCAGTGTTCGTATACATCGCACGTGTTTGATGAAATCTTTTCTTGTGCGGTGTTAGTCGATCTAATGTGTAATATACAGAAATAGTTTGTTTCGGTGCTAACGACTGTTAACTCGCTATGAGATAAGAACCTATAGCGGCATCGTCGTTGTTTTGTTGTTGCTGCTGATAACATTTTCCTATCTTGCGATAAACGACTCCTCAATAATGATTAGGAAATCGGTATAATTTGCTCTGAAGTGTTAAAACTTTTTCACAGATCTCTTCTGGATCATTGACTTCTCGGAGTAGGTCAACATCCGCTAATTGCTTATGAAAGATACACATTTGTTTCAGACAAGAAATCAGTGTTCGTATATCGAATTGTGCTTTTCATTCAAATCTTCATCAGTATCCTCGTCGGTGTCGGTATCTGCCATTGCGTATTTGGCCAAAGCTTGATCGAATTGTTTCAATTGATAATAAACAAGTTTAATAGCCAAATCATCATTAGCTAAATTCAATTCTTGGATTTTAATTGCTTGTCGATGTTGATCCTGGGCAACGCATAACTCAGCAAGAAGCAAAACCATTTGAAGATCGTGCCTCGGCATATAAATCGTTCGAAGTAGATTTCTCTAATTTTGCATTTAATAAAATACAGACATGTTCTGTGTGAGAATAATAATGTTTCTGATTGTCCTACCATACGTCGAACTCAAAATCTATTTGTACAGTGCACAAGATGGCCAACCAATTGAATACTACGATTATGTCATGATTGAGTCTCTCTTCTATTGCCGGCGTCCTGAAGAACCTATTGATTTACATCGAGATAATGTCACAGAATCGTGCGAGAAGAACGGTGGTAAAACGCGTCTCTTTTCTGAAATGCGAGCGACACAAGTGAATGTTAGTTAGCACTGTTCTGCATGAATGGAAATCGACCCTCGAACACGTGGAACGCTACTCACGTTACTTAAGAGGTTCTTCTCAATTAGATGGACATCTATGCCAATGTCTTCAATCACAATCTTTCGGTAAGAATTGCGAATATCATCTACCAGTCGGTACAACACTTCAAGACGCTTTAGAATGGCAATTAAAGGTATAATACGATAATCAATGGGAGAGACGCCTGCATATTTGTCGATATGATCGGTTTTGTCCATTAGATTTCTGGTCGTGTGGCGACGAGCAATGCGTTCGGGACCGATTTGGGTCTCAGAAAAGGACCGGAATACGGAGAGTGCCGTAGTCAACGAGACCAACGTTTCGTATGTGAAACTTATTGTTGTTGGCTGATGTGGACCTTGTCAAATGGACAATGTTGTTTTGAACGACCATGCAAAGAGTCACAAATAAGGAACAACACTATCCATGAACAATGCCAGCTGCTACTCAGATGTATACTATCAGAAAATACGGCATCAGGTTGTTCACACTGGGACGACACGGACTATCCGATAAATCTCAGTGACTATTGTCCCTTAGAATTGATTCCATATCCTCAAGGACCTATTATAAGCTCGTATGGTTCGTACTTTTTCAATCGCGAACGAAACTGGACCCATCCTTTTCCAGACTGGATTTTTATTAACGGTACGGTTCGATGTGGCGATGCTCTAGTTTCAACTACGCAGCGAATTCAGTTCAGTACATATTGGAATGAACGACGGATCATCGACGAAATTTTTTGTAATCTCAATAGCTCAACCGTTACGGGCAGGAACGAGTGTTAGAGCCGAACGCTTTTGCTTTCATTGCTCAAACAATCAACTAACATGTTTGAGTGTCACAGTCTTGGGAGATGATCGGCACGATTGTCCAAATCAGTTTGACGAATTGTGGTTGGGAACGAATCGAAGACTCAGCGAAATGAAGTGTGATAAGCAACACAAAGACGAGTGTGCATTAGTTCGTCATTACTTCGATCAGTCATCGAGATTAATGAACAATGACAAACACTGTATCGAAACTCACATAGCTTTTCTTTCCTATTGCAACACCTTCTGGAACACAGGCTCGCAGAAAGATGAGAATCAGACTGAATGTCGACGTTGGTGGGTCTGTGCCGATGACCAGTGGCAATGTCGAACAGGTCAGTGTGTACTGAAAAACTGGGTGAATGATGAAGAATGGGACTGCACGGACGCATCGGACGAAGCGGAATTGTTTAATAAAACGATCACATTACTCGAAGCAATGAAACTTGACTTTCATGCTAGTAAAGAATTCGAACCACTTTTCGACACTTGTAATCAAACGAATTCAGTTCTATGTCTTTCGCCCTCCTTAGCACACTCACGAAAACCGTACTCATGCATCAATGTTTGGACATAGTTACAAATGTCTTTCCAGTAACACATGTTTCCATTTTTCGCGCATTGTCTGGTCACTGATCGATGTCTAAATGAAGATGATCATCGGTATTGGTGTTCTCGTATGGGACAAGTACAATCGAACTGTGCCGGGCCTACGGATTTTATTTGCTTCGATTACCACAGTTACCAACGGATGCAAATCTCAACAAGTTCACTTCTAATTTCCCGATCGAACTATCATCATTCATGTCGAATTTATCTTCGTTATCATTTTTTGCTTATAAATGTAATCGTGGGATTGGTGCTCAACTATCAGATGGCTCTACCGTATGTTTTTGTCCCCCACAATACTATGGTTATTACTGACAATATCATGTTGATCGTTTGTTGGTTCTTCTTCATCTAAATCTGTCTCATTCTATCTATGCAACACAGACTAACTCTATCACTGCTCTCAAGCTACTAGTTTTGTTTCTGCTCAACAATCAAACTTTGGTGACACATGAGTTCCACGCACGATCAACAGCAGAAATGACGGTGATTACTAAGAAAACGGTTCATTTTGTCTATTCACGTTCTTCTGTGCTTCGCCAACATCGAATAGAACGATACGAGAATCGATCAGATATTCTCGTTGTTCATCCGTATACAGTTCGAATTGAAATTTATGAAAGAAATGAACATGAACAAGCGCGGTCTTCTTGGGACTTTGGGAGTATCCAATCGTTTTTGATTATCTACCAGTCTTTCGTCTTGCCAAAGTACTTCAATTAGATAGACTATCGACATTTCGTCATCATAACTCTTGTTCATCGAATTTCTGTCACGAGAAGGCCGAATGCCACTCACTACTCAATGATCCATCGAAATATTTATGCCTCTGTCCAAATAATTTCACTGGAGCGAACTGTTCTGTCGAAGATTTGCACTGCACCAATGATTACTGTGCACCAACAACACTTTGCAACCCATTTCCCTACTGTGTCTGTCCATTCAATCGATACGGTGAGCGGTGCGATATTGAACACGATCGGTGTCAGTTGACCGCTTGTCTCAATGGAGGTTCTTGTTTTCCCACATCTGCACCGGATCGAGTTATTTGTTTGTGCACCGAACATTTCTACGGATCGCAATGTCAATGGAAAAAGACGATTTATCATTTACCTCTCGAAAATCAAATCCAGTACGGCGCCGCTGTAGTACAATATTACGATATTGATTTGATATCGCTCGATCTCATTTTCGTGCATCAACAAGTCTATCAAACTCTCCCATCATCACTTGAATATCGATATCATCAAGAGAGAATACTCGACATAATTATAGGCAAATTTTATACTTCGTTTCTTGAACAGCAGCGAATATCTATCTTCTCTCATTGCATCTTAATCGTTTATCAACGCTTTCTTTCTCAGCTTCGTCGCCGATTCGATATCATCACATCTGTATTGAAAATTCAACTCTGTTCTGTTTTCATGACGATATCTACCTCTGTATTTGCAACAAGAATCATACACGAGTGGAATGCTTCAATTATGACGATACTTTGGATCATTGCTCGCACTGTCTCTCGGGTGGTCGATGTCTGAAAGGAGATCTCGAACGTTCGAACGATTTTCTTTGCATGTGCGCTAATTGCCATTCAGGTCGGTATTGTCAATTCAATTAGAAATCATTAACTTTTACCCTTGATCAACTATTCTACGTTGATCTCATCTCGAATCACAAACGAACAACGACATACTTGCTCATGTTTGCCTGTCTTTTAGGACTGACTGTCGATCTTCTAAATAATCTTCTCTCATTCGTTACTTTTCGTCGACAAGCATGTCGCCAAACGGTTATTATTTACTCTGTATTAGTGTAATCAATCTGGTAGTTCTTTCCATACGTCTCCTTCATCTGTCGACAACAATCGCTTTTCAACGATCTTTTTCTATTTTCGACAATATTCTCTGCAAATGTTTAACATACTTTCTTACTTGTTTTTCTCGTGTATTTTATTGGTTTGTTTCATTCGTTGCTCTCGACGTCTGATGACGTTAACGTTCGCCATTGTGTTTACATCTGATGCTGATGAACTTGTATTCTTCAGGTTATTTCGTACGAACGACAGCGGCAATAGCGCCATGTGTATTCTCGAATTTCCGGTGTCTCATCGAACTGTATGGATATTCATTTTAGTTTACCTTTGCTAATCAATATCTGTTGTACAGCAACTATCGTACGTCTTATTATCAGAACAAAAATGAATCTCAGTATGGCTAATGAACGTAAGTAATATTTTTGTCGATCGTTAAACTCTTAACGAATTCTTTCGTTTGTTCTACAGATCGATTGCATGTTTTACGAGATGTATTGAGTGAACATAAAGAAATGATCGCTAAGCCAATGATCACATTGATACCGTCGGTATTTTCACTTTTCTCTTTGCCAACAATCATTGTTTCATTTGCACTTGGTTGTCGAACTCTTGACACCAGTCGACTACGGTATCTTCTAATGATCTCCTACTTCCTCTCGTTCCTTCCTCAAATGATTACGTATTTTCTCTACATATATCCGTCGTCAGTCTATTCGAAAGAGTGGCAATCGACATTGATCAGTCAACGAATAGCAGCTCTTCGACAGCGAGTTTCACTCATGTTTTCAAAATAAACATAAATGAAGCAAAAGATTAATCTCACTTGATATGATCTATGATGTGGACTTTCGTTTCTTGCGAACGTGTTTCTAACATATTCGACACTCGTTGCAATACACCTTTTCTACGTGCTCGGAAGTATGACGAAGCATTGACACAATCGATTCATCGAATCGCAAATGAATGTATACATAGTCAAATCTTTTTTTTCGTCATTTATTTAAATCGTTTATGTCAAATACAAAAGAAAAGGAAAATCTTCATCAATCGAAATATTTTCTTGAGATTTATTATAACTATTTGCCCTGACATCCTGTTGGAGTAGCTCTGATGTACGTCGTTGAAGCAGTAGTAGCAGCACCGCCCCCGCCCGGTGAAACAGTGGTGAAGAGAGGAGCATCGGGATTATAAATATCATCGAGATTCTCGTTCGATGAATCACAACAAGAATCACAACATGTGGCTGCTTTGCAAGCAACTTTAGCGGAATTGGCCGCAACACGTCGTGCGTACGTGGCAGCTTTTGCTACTTGAATCGTTGTTTCTGCGGCCTGTTGAGCAGCGGCGGCTGCTTCAGGATCATCTTTAGTAGCTTCAATGATGATCTTGTTAGCTTCTTCTACGCTCGTCTTCAACGCTTGTGTAGCAAGACGTAGAGCAGCAATGGTTATTTTGAGAGCTTCACATTCTGCTATCGGCGTACCACAAGAACAACTGGTCGTCGTCGTCTGCGCGTTTGTACACGCAAACATTAGCATAATTATTGTTAGGCAGTAAGCCACAGCGAGTTGAACCATATTTTCGTATTGTTGTGGGACGATTGAGAATAGGTCTGATACGCTTGTTGTAATTTATACCCAAAGGAGTGATAAATCTTTTTCATTCTGTTCTTCCTAACTCAGCGATGCACGAAAATGAGAGAAAGCGAAGGAATAGAAGAAAGTACGTTGGAAACTACCTATTTAAGGCTCTTTGCCTAATGAAATAAAGGAAGTTATTCTGTTTACAAAAATAATATCGAATGGATTTCATCGTTAGCGTTAATGAAGGCAACCTTGAAAACGATGGGAAGTTACCCACAATGCAAATTTTCCCTTACTGTAATGCACCCACCGATTCATTGAAATCGCTCGTATATTTTCAAACGAAAAAATAATATATAAAAATATCTTACTCATCTTACGAATATAAATATCCCGGGCTTTTCGGCTTTTATTACGAGATATCACACTTTCAATATGAATGCGTTGTTGTACGTATTGCATTTGACTTTGTGTACATTCTCTCTTAATACAGATATGCGTATTTGCTTCTAGTTGGACTGCATTGTGTGTTGGTGGCGCAATTTTATTCGGTATTGCAGCCACAGTCGTGGTGTCTCTAATCCCAGTTTATACAGAAAAGAATACCGATGCGTTAGCGAGTAAGTCAAATAGGATAGGTTGTTCTTGTTGAATTCAATATAACTCTGTGTATTAAGATGTGAAAGGAAAGGCATTCAGCATGAATTATAGTCTTAATTCAGCAAGTCTTGCAAGCGGTGATCTCTCCGCAACACAACGTGATGTTCTCAGTGCACAGGTAGGAACAAGAGATTTGAAGACGTATCTAATCTACTATTTTCAGTTATCGAGCCTCATAGAAGAAAAAGTATCAGTTGAACTAACCTCGGCAACGGTTAAGAGTGCAGCATCGAAACGGTAAGTTTTAGAGATGTTTGAAAATGACGATTACTTGGTTTTTTGACATAGAAGATCGCTGTTTCGTCGTCAAGCTGCTCAATCTGTAGTACTCGAAATTCGTGGCGCTATCAAAGGACAAAAAGGATGTGCGACACGATGCACACTCAACGCTGTGAAAAAGTTTCAGTCGCTTCTTTGCACTACTGAACTTCTCATAATTCAATAAGCGATTGTATTCTTTAATATTAAAATAAAACGAACTTTCACATTATAATATATCAACTGATTGAGAGTGTGCGAGTATCTTTTCAAATTGCCGAACGCTGCATTTAGATTATTATCACCTTGTTGCTACTTCCTTTGAAATAACCAATCAAATTTCGCGTCACAATTGTATTTACCTATCTCTGCGCATATAATTAGAAATTTCAAGTTAGAAAGAATCTATTCGATGTAAACATTTCTTCTGATCACTTTTTCTCTATAAACAAAATCGCGATATACACCACCATTGATTATTTGTTGCAAGAGACCTCAAATCTCATTCAGTACGAACCAAAACATGATGCGTGCACATGTAGAAAAACGTCATAACTATGCGCTAAAGACATCTATTGAAAAGTCGTTTTTATTACAATGATTGGAAAGAAGTTCAATCGATACAAAGACAAGTTTTCTGTAGAAGAACGAATCCGTTGGAAAATAAAATCTGGATCTCTCTGTTCAACAAAAATGAATCGAAATAAAAGAAAAGCAACGAACATCTTCTTTCAGTTATTTTTCATGAAAATCTTTCCTTTCTCCCCGCCTTTTCTTTTTCATACAATAAGTGTATACGCGTGTGTTTTCTATCATAAAGGGAAGGAAGTTTGATTCACACAGCAGCAGATACATGTTCGCTATCGATGACTGTTTTGTTTGTATATTCAGATAGTTGTTTTCGTTATTGATGGCAACGGCAAAGAACAAGTCACGATGTTTTACTTGTAACAAGGACAGAATTACTTATTCTTGTCAAGGCTGTTCAAGTCAGTTTTGTTTAACTCACTTAAATGAACATCAACAAAATTTGAATGAACAGTTGAATATCATCATTACTGATTGTGATCAGTTTCGAGAGAGAATAAACCAGAAACAACCGGATTTATCATTAATCGAGGAAATTGATCGATGGGAAACGAAATCAATCGCGTTAATTCGACAAACAGCACACCAATGTCGACAAGCGCTTGTCGAAGAGACACAAAATACTATCAAACAAATTGAAGAGAACTTCAATAAGTTGATGAAAGAAATCAAGATTATTCAACAAGAAAATGAATTTAATGAGATTAATCTGAAAGGTTTGAAAAAGAAATTAAAAGAGATTAACAATGTATTTAATTATGCGTTTGAATATACTGTCGAAGAAGAGAATTCACAAACATTTGTCAAGAAAATTTCAATCAAAATACCGAAAAGTACGTTGAACAACTGATTATCTTTGAGAATGGGAAATAGGTACGTTTCTTATCATTTAGAAATGATCTCGAAGAAATGGAAGCAAGCAGCGACGTGTGTAGCGGGAGGAAATGGTTTTGGTGACAAATTAAATCAATTTTCTTTTCCTCAAGGAATATTCATAGACAGAAATCAAAATATCTTTATTGTGGATTGCTTGAATCATCGAATTATGCGATGGAAACCGAATGCAACTCAAGGAGAAATCGTGACAAATGCAAACAACGCGAATCGATTGAGTTATCCAAGAGATGTGATTTTTGATGAACGCGACCAATCACTGATCATTTCTGATTTAATGAATAGACGAGTAATTCGATGGTGGAACGAAAGTCAACAAGAAATTCTCATTGATGATGTATCATGTCATGGTTTAGCGATGGATAAAGATGGATATCTTTATGTTTCTGATTGGAAGAAACATGAAGTGAGAAAATGGAAAATGGGCGAAGGAAAATTAGTTGCTGGTGGAAATGGTCGAGGATGTCGATCTAATCAACTCAAATCTCCAACGTTTATCTTTGTTGATGATGAACAATCGATTTATGTTTCGGATTATGAGAACCATCGTGTGATGAAATGGAGAAAAGATGCGGAGGAAGGAATTGTTATTGCTGGCGGACATGGTCAAGGAAATAATCTCAATCAATTATGTCATCCCGAAGGAGTAATTGTTGATAAATGCGGCCAAGTTTACATTGCAGATAATGGCAACGATCGAATAATGCGTTGGTGTGAACATGATGATGAAGGTGAGGTCATTGTTGGTGGTAAAGGAAGAGGAAAAGGGTCAAACCAATTGTCGTATCCTACTGGCTTATCATTCGATGCTGAGGGAAATCTTTATATTGTTGATTTTGGAAATGTACGAATTCAAAAATTTGACTTAGTTTGTTAATAAAAGAGATTTATTTCATCTTAACAAGAAAATCACTTGAGAGTGTACATAAGTTAGAAATGCGAGAAAACAAATGAAAAATGAGGATCGATCGAGTTGAAAATATTTGAATTCTTCGATCATGGTACACATTCGCAAAAACACCATCTAAAATAATGTACAGATAGATCAGCTCTCTTATAAAGAATTCGTCTTCGAACACTTAATATTACGAGTTTAAAACTATACTCTTCGAAACAAAAGTTTACGTGAAATCAATACATTCTTCAGCTGTTGAGGGTGATGCAAAATTATCATTGTATGTGAGTTCACGAAGAGAGTGTAGATATGTACTTGAATGATCAATGATTGTGTTTGTAGTCCACTGGATATCGTTCTCTTCTATTTACTGTATAGACATTCTAATATGTCCGGAGATGTTTTTTCGGATAAAATTCATATTACTGGCAAGAAAAAGATAAAGCAGATGTTTGTTCGTAAAATATCGAATAGTGGTCAGAGAAAACAATAAATTAAAACACGATAAGTCAAATCTGTTATTTCTTCATTTCGCAATCGACGAGTAAAGTTTACTTTATCCAAATTTTCTCTGAAGGTAGTTTAACATCGACAGCTCTGATTGCATAATGATTGAACAAGAGAATCTCATTCTGTTCAGTAGTGAATCATTTGTAGAGTTTATATTCTGCAGACACAAGAAATGTATAGTCATAGGATAGATCGACTTTTATAAATCTTTATACTGCGCAAACTGAAAAGGAAAAGAGGAATTATTTTGACACATAAATCATTCAGTACAAGTGACAAATGAGGAACATCATAGGTGTCGATAGTTGTGAATGAATGAAATGTGTGTAGCGCGTATACTCACCAGATAGACATTTGTATTTATCATTAACACCGGCATTTATGTGTTTCGATATTATTTTAGATTTTGTTCAGTGCTAACAGAAAATGATGCCATAGTCCAATTCAATGTGCTCTCGCGCACATTCACACTGAATCTGAATCTTTAATTTTGCTTGTTTTACCATGTGATATTATTATTGGTATTGACATCTATTTATATTGTGTTAGATATACAAAAGAAGGAAATGTTTCGTTTGTTTATTTCGAACAGCGCTAAAAAACAAAATTACGTGTCCTTGTCAAGAATGTTCGAATCAATTCTGTTTATAGGATTTAAGTGTGTTTGTGATCGATTCAGAGAAAGTGTTTTTGGACAAAACAAATTGATCAATGGGAGAAAGATTCGATCAAAGCTGTTCGAAAAAAAAATGCGGAACAGTATCGAACAATTCTATAGTGGAAGAGATGAAAGAATTCAATGAGTTGAAAACAAAATTTGAGAAATACAGAAAGACAATGAGTTTAATGAAATTCTGACTTGAACAGGTTTTTGTTTTCTCCCTGGGAAATAAATGAAGTGAGACGATGGAAAATGGAAGATAAACGAAAAGGAGAATTAGTTGTAGGTGGGAATGAAGTAGGACACTAACTTGATCAGTCCAATGCTCCTCGATTTATGTTGCAGATAGGGAGAAGCATCGAATAATGCGTTGAAAGGAAGGAGAGGAAGAAGACGATGAGATAATTGTCGGTGGAAACGAAGAAGGAGAAAAATTACATCTACTATCCTGTCCTAGTGGTTTAAAGTTAGACGATCAAAGAAATAATCGAATTCAGAGATTTGACGTGGTTTGTTGAACGATACGAATGAATGAAACCGATTTGAATAGAAAATAATTCGTCGGTGACTTTCTTGCTTCACGTGATTTGCTCTTTCTGAAGATCTATGTGGAGCATTCAAATGTCATGACGAGTGGCCATGGTCAATTTAGACAATAGATTAATAAAAGCAACCAATCAGATTTATCTTTCGTGAAGCCAGTTGATGGTTCAATTCGACAGGCGGCATATCTCTTGAACTACATACTTCACAGAAAAATCAAGCAGAACTTGCTGTAGATAAAAATCTTCAATTCTCCCATGAGAATAGTTGTACATTTTATAGCTTGCTTAAGTGCACAACAATTGAGTGAAAACGAAAGATACTATAAACAATAAACGATCGAGTTAATCTCATTTGTCATATCTAGTATGGATTACTGTTTATTCGATATTGATTACACTGAGAAACAGATCTGTTCGATTCATCATAATAAATTCAAATGCAACAAAGTCGAAGTTTTATTGTGAAATGAGAAATGAATTTACACGCAATGTTGTTCTATTCGATGAAGACAAAATGAATCAGGTTAGGGATGAGACTGAGGAGAAAACAAATGAGTTTGTGTTTATTCCTTTGTGCCAGGAGTTGCACCAGGTGGTGCAACGGGAGTTTCGGCGATTGTAAATTGATCGCCTGACATCCATCCTTGATTTTCAGCATCAGCTTTTTTATGAGGATCACTTGCTGGTGTATCTTGACCAGTAATATGAGCTTCGGCTAATTCAGCAGCTCGAATTGTTTTTTCATCTAAAGGAAAGAGAATGTTTTTTTTTACAAAAGAAAAGAGTAGACAAGAAATTCTTTACTTGGATCGGCAGAGGAACTCATTGCTTGTTTGCTTCGATAAATGTACTGAAAATACGTTACTTGTTATCTTACGATGTATAATTGCTTATATACTGCTCTCTCGTTCCATAAATATCCTCATGGATTTTTCTGTTATATGCATATAACCGAAGAAAATATAGATCGATATTTTATCCTAGAGAGGAAGAGGAGAAAAAAAGAATTATCCGCTCGTTTCTTCTGAAGTAGGTCGATGCTAAAAGAAAGATTGATTTTTCTCTCATATATGTTTATTACCAAGTAATCAGCGTTTGCTATACTCGTTCCTTTGACGTAGTATAACCACAAGGGGAGAAAAACTCTGATGCAACACATTTGTCATTGATCTTTCTGATAAACTATCCATCGAAGGTTACTCATATGTCGATCTTTCTACAACATACTCGACGTTTGCTAATACCGAGCAAGTCATACGTCTCTATAAACATTCGCCATTCTTATGACGACGACTATTACGTGAAAATTCGAGAATCAATGTATTCTTTTTCTTTATTCTTCCTTCTGGATGTCCAAACGTTATTGTTTGACCTTTGACCTGTTGTGCATATTATCTGATATATTCTGACAGTGGAAGAACGTCCGTCAACGACATACTAAATTATCTTTATTTGTTCTATATACATTCCACAAACTTGTTGATACACAAAGACAATAAGATTGTTTTATCCTATGCGAGTTATGAACATTGGGAAAGTTTTTACAAAGGAAAAAAGAATCGAGTTTAATTCGTTTTCTTTCTTTTCAACCGTTTCGTTTCAAAAACATCCTTTGACCAAAATCGATAAATTAAAATCAACGGGAATACTTGATAATATCCATAACCCAAGGTAAATAAGACTAAATTGTTACTTTTTTCCAAACCGAATATAGCTTGATAGAAGAAATACCCGAGATCGAAAAACAAAACCAATGCGTATAGAAGCATTGGCATACGAATCCATTGTTTCTTGTAACAAATAGCATAGATTCCAACTAAATAGAAGGGTGCAAATACAAATGGAGAAAGAACTGCCAAAACTTTAGTGATTGATTCGTTTGTAAGCAGAAACGGATCGACATTATGTCCCCACCAATAGAATAATTTCAAAATAAATGCTGGCGGCCAACTCCATTTCGATGTATCTTCATCTTGAATTTGTTTATTCATTGGAGCAACAGCATTAATGTAATCAATCGTAAGAGCAATAAGAAAAAATACGAGAAAAGTTCCAACGATAAGTTTATCAATTGATCGCATATTGGTTGTATACTAAAGCTTTGTTACGGAAAAGAATCGTTTATATACATCGCATGTTTATCAATTCTTCACTTTTTTTTATCAACAATCACGCCATATGTGATAGAACAAAGATATGAGCTGTTGATATTTGGTTTAAATCGAGAAGAGATGATGAAACTGACTATAGGTAATGAATATTTATAATAGTAGGTGGATCAAAGTTCAATTTTCGTTCTTCTGTTCATGAAGTGCTGATTATTTTTTTTTGATATAACGGATTTTCCTGTGACTTCAATGCATTGACAAAAAACTTTTGCCGGTATTCTATTTATTGATTAGTTACATTCCATATTGTCAATATGTTACAATTCTTTTCCTTGTATTCCAGCTGTTACAAAAGAATTGCTGTTCAAAGTTTATTTAGCTGGTGAAACCTTCGATGATAAATCTGGATCTCGATTTTCAAAGAAATCATCAGAAAAGGTTTAGATATTGAAGTTAAAAAATATCAGATTGCGAAACTCAGTTACAAATCAAATAGTGCATCTTCGTTAACATCAAGCCATCGTTGAAATATCCCCGAAGTATCTCTGTTATACGTTCCATCTAAAATCAAAAAAGAACATAAAACCATCTCTATGACAGTCTTTCAATCAAACAATCACTTGATGAAAAACTGACTTTTTGTTTCAATTTCAACCGAAATATATCATCATCGATATTACGTCTTACGCGCATTGGTGATCGAATATCTTCACATTTCAATGCTGCGGTAATTGCTTCTTCCATCTTTGTACCAAAGGAAATGCTGTCTGTTGTCGGCTATTTGCTGTATTTTTATTCTCAGCCATCACACTAATTTTTTTGCCTTGTTCTCAGTGAGTTTAACGATATATACTCGGACAGATAGAATATCGTTTACACTGTCTAATATTACTATGAATACACTAGCGCGATCTGTTTTTCATTTGTATTGCACACTTCCTTTCTTCTAAAAATATTTCTTTACGTAAAGTCATATAGTTACGAATATAGTGGTTATATGAAAGACAGAGCAAGGAGTATAAATAAATAATGATTTTGTAAATATTTTTCTTTCGGATTACAAATCAGATCAAAGTATAATTTCTCGTTTAAGGAAATTTTATTGAGAAATATTAAAATCATCTTCGTATAGTTTCTGATTAAATCAAAGCATAGCTAGCCGTTGTTGCAAGACCGCATTGATTATTTTTATTTCTTGCCATTAGAACGTATCCATCCATACCCCATCGTGTTGTCCATTGGTTTTTCAATAAGTAATATTCTTGATTATCTTGTGTTGTACCGTATCCGATGGCCAAAAGTGAAAAATCTAACGTTGTTGATGAACATGATGGTTCGGAGTATACGCCTGATGAATAAAAACGAAATGAATCATGACTTGCATCCATAGCAACAGCGATGGGACCGATTGTTGCAAGAGCATCTTGAAGATCAGCTTCTGATCCAGCTTTGATGTCAACATAATTCTTTTTTTAGAAAGATACATATTTGAATCGAAATCGAAGAAAAAGATCGAACTTACAGTGATATCCGTCGCAATGGTTTTCACATTAAAACGACATTTTCCATCAACACCTTCATAAGGATAACTTGCATTGGTATCGATTCCATGACTATGCATCAGGTAATTATATGAATTATCCATCAAACCACCGGAACAACCATAATTTCCGTAATCTGTTGAACAATCAACAAGTTGTTGTTCAGATAAAGAAACAAGTTTTTGAGTCTTTTTGGCAAGTTGTCCTTCAAGTGTACCAGTAGTTGAAAATGCCCAACACGAACCACATTGTTTTTGGTCTTTTACAGGTGTAACGTATCCTTTCGTACGCCAATCTAAATCATAACAACCATTACAGTTTGATTCCAACAGAAATTTGAACACTCTTTACCAACAGATGCTGGAAGTTTTCTGTTTGATGGAATGTGAATTTTTCCATTGGATTTACGTTCGGAACTCATTTTCAATTGATTCATTTGTTTGACGAACTCATCTTTTGTCTAGAATCACTCAAAAAAAAACCTTTAATTAACAAGATACGACAAATACGAACAAGATCAGCGAATTGATTGACTTTCATTGTGAATGTATGGAGACCTAAATCCGCTTCTAAGTTATGCGTTTGGATCATACGGACATTTTCTTCCCAGATCGTTCGTCTAGCTTCTTCATCGATTGAATTGTATTGTTTTCCATGAAGATTTTTAAATAATTTCCATCCTTGGTCTAACGATGGTGTTCGAAGACTCGAACAGAAAGGAAGAAATACAGCGACAATGATGAAAAGAGATAATATTTTCTTCATTTTATTTTCTGTTGTGTTTTTGCAAACGCAAACTTCCATTTAAATACTGAAACTTGCCTTTGTCATTGCACAACAGTGATAGTGCATTTGATAAGGATAAACATGCGATGGGAAAAAAAAAATGTGTGTTACACAAGAAATGAATTTCGAACGGTATTTATCATTTTCTTGTCAATTGTCGGTCTCCTTAGTACTTTCGATATCTTTTACATATTAAGCACTACATGATGTAAAGAATATTTCAACAACTAAAATCTCTTTTCTCCACCAGAGGTTAAAATCTGTGAAAAATGAAGTATTTCGTGTCTCAGTATCTAAAATATGTTCTGTGATTGGAATCATCAGAGACAATATACCAAGTACTTCTTGTTTCGAAAGATTCGAGAATTTCTGATCAAAGTTGGCATTGTCAAATTATTTTACAAATCGAATATTTACGATGGCAGATCAGGTTCAACTGAAAATATTGAAAACCTTTTTTTATTTTTCGAATGACTTAGTGTGTTATGGATGTATCCCACACATATTCTTTGAAACACCTTCTTTCGTCATTTCCTTATTCCCAATCGCTTAGTTGTGTTTCTCTGTCAATCAGCCATTAGGACGTATGATAATCTAGACAAGAAAGATACGAAATCACAGATGATAAAAAAGACACCTGGTATATTTCGATCTACTCTCAATGGCGTAAGCATTCGAATATCGCACAAAAAACGCAAAGCAGACCGCAACTATTTTCGGTGCTAGAGAGAAAACGTTGTCCAAAATAAGCTCTCAGTGTAGCATATTCTGTGCAATTTCGAACAGTGCAGAGAATTTTGAACAATTTCAACATGACTGAGAACGAGACACTTACATACTATCACCATCATGGTTAAAAACGAAACGATTTAAGGAGCGTATTAACTCTAATAAAATTTTCAATTATAAATATTGTCAATGCGAAAGTTTATAGTTTAAAAAAAATGGCGTATAACGGTGGCGATGCCGAGGATTTTATGTCATTTAATAGTTCTCAATCCAATTTATACGCAAAACGTTTTTCAATTAAATTTGATCGCTCTTGATCAGAGAGATTTGTTCAGGATCCAAATAGATTGATTTTTCAATTTTAGTCCATGGCCAGACAGCTAATCGCCGTGTGATGAAAAATGCAACGGCGACAACAACCATTATATAGCAGTTGATCTTAAATATATCCCACCATAGTGATTGATAATCGGATGACACAAATGCTACTGTCGTTGTCTTTAGTACAATTGGAGATACATTAGACTTGTTTACTACCTTTCCATCAATACACAACTGCACAGGCGTATTATAACACATGCCATTGCATGCTTCAATTTGACTCGCTTCAGTGTGCCTATAGAAAAGCGAGCTATTACAAGTTGTGTTCCTATTGATACACAGTTGATCTGTTCGAAGACAACGTTGCCCACATACTTCAAACTGATAACAAGGTGTGTTGTCAAGACATACTTGCACTTTAGGATTATAACACCGTAATTGGGAATCGAACTGCATGCTCCAACTACTGTTCTGTACGAAGCACAAAACTTCGTCTAAACCGCACAAAGTTCCATTCAAGCAGTTATGTGTTAATGGATCGTAGCAGATACCAGAGCATGACTTAATTGTAGTTGATTGTGAAGTATTGTTATAATGCCACTCCTTATTCGAATAGATGCACACTGACTTATTTGTCATGCACAATTCATTTTCACCAAGACAGAGTTCACCGCACACTTGAGATTGTGTGCAGAGGGTGTTGTTGCGACATAATTGATAGTTTGGATTATAGCATACTGGTTGCAGAAAATTATACCATGCACCATATTTCACATAACACAAGTCTGCGTCCACGCCACATAGGGTTCCATTGATACATTTGTACGTCGATGAATCGTAGCATACACCGGAACAGTTGTTATTGTTAATGCACTGGATTCTAGCATCTATGCATTGTTCAAGTCTAGGATCGTAGCAGATGCCATTACATGATTCAGATACGTTGAGCCAAGATTCTTGATTATGATACCAGTTTTGGTTACGTAAATTGCAAATTGTTTTATCCTTGACACACAGTTGATTTTCGCGAAGACATTGCTGATCACAAAGTCGAGTTTGAAGGCAGAGTGCATCGTTGAGACATACTTGATAGTTAGGATCGTAACACTGATATATCGGTGGATTATACAGTCGGCCTCGTTCATCATATTTCACATAGCACACTTCTGCATCCGAAAGACACAAAGTTCCATTCCAACATGTATGTGTCGATGAATTGTAGCATGCTCCTGAGCAGTTGTCATTGCCAATGCACTGAATAATATCATCAATGCATTCGTAGACATTGGAATCATAGCATGTGCCATTGCATGACTGATTTAGATTCACCCTAGATCGATAGTTATAGAAGAACCTTTCGCTCCGTATCTGACATATTGTTTTGTTATTGATACACAGTTGATTGTCTTCAAGACATTGTTGATCACATACTTGAAATGGACGACACAGGGTGTTGTTGAGACATAATTGATAGTTTGGATTATAGCATACTGGTTGCAGAAAATTATACCATGCACCATATTTCACATAACACAAGTCTGCGTCCACGCCACATAGGGTTCCATTGATACATTTGTACGTCGATGAATCGTAGCATACACCGGAACAGTTGTTATTGTTAATGCACTGGATTCTAGCATCTATGCATTGTTCAAGTCTAGGATCGTAGCAGATGCCATTACATGATTCAGATACGTTGAGCCAAGATTCTTGATTATGATACCAGTTTTGGTTACGTAAATTGCAAATTGTTTTATCCTTGACACACAGTTGATTTTCGCGAAGACATTGCTGATCACAAAGTCGAGTTTGAAGGCAGAGTGCATCGTTGAGACATACTTGATAGTTAGGATCGTAACACTGATATATCGGTGGATTATACAGTCGGCCTCGTTCATCATATTTCACATAGCACACTTCTGCATCCGAAAGACACAAAGTTCCATTCCAACATGTATGTGTCGATGAATTGTAGCATGCTCCTGAGCAGTTGTCATTGCCAATGCACTGAATAATATCATCAATGCATTCGTAGACATTGGAATCATAGCATGTGCCATTGCATGACTGATTTAGATTCACCCTAGATCGATAGTTATAGAAGAACCTTTCGCTCCGTATCTGACATATTGTTTTGTTATTGATACACAGTTGATTGCCTTCAAGACATTGTTGATCACATACTTGAAATGGACGACACAGGGTGTTGTTGAGACATAATTGATAGTTTGGATTATAGCATACTAAGTGTGGATAATTTTCCACGTCCGATCCACCAGATTTCACATTGCAGAAATCTTCGTCCACCTGACACAAAGTTCTATTGAAACACTTATGCGTTGAAGAATTGTAGCACGTCCCGGAGCAATTGTTATTATTAATGCACTGAATATTACCATCTATGCACTGTTCAAGCGTCAGATCGTAACAGATACCATTGCAAGAATCATATACAGTCGATTTTGGCCAGTAGTTATAAGACAACATTGTGTCACGTGAGCTACATATTGTTTGATTATTGATACACCGTTGACCTCGTTGAAGACATTGTCCACTACATACTTGATATGAGTGACAGAGTGTGTTGTTAAAACATGTTTGGTACGAAGGATCGTAACACTGATTTGATGGGAAAGTATTGAGGTGACCTAGTTCGCTGTTTTTAACGTAGCACAGATCTTGACTCATATAACATAATGTTCCATTCAAACATTTTCGCATTGATGAATCATAACATGTTCCAGAGCAGTTGTTATTGTTAATGCACTGGATTGTACCATCAATGCATTGTTCAACTCTGGGATCGTAGCAGATACCGCTGCATGAATCATATGCAGTCAGTCCTGAGGGGTAGCTAAAATACCACCTTGCGCTAGGTGAGTTACAAATTGTTTTATTACTAGTACACCATTGGCCTTGTTGGAGACATTGTTCACCACATACTTCAGATCGGGAGCAGAGAGTATCGTTGAAACATGCTTGATATCGAGGATTATAACACTCATGTACGGTATGGCCGTGCATAGTTGAAGATTGCATGCTGTGCTTAATAGTACATACCTGTTCGAACAATTCACAAAGTATGCTATTAAAACATTGGTGCGTATTTGGATTATAACAACTATTTCCACAGGTGCCGATGCATTCAATTTTTTCTCCTGGATTAGTGCACCTTTGCGTGAATGGATCGTAACAAGTACTCTCTCCGCATAATAGTTGCGAATAGGGGCAGATTATTACTGGTCTTGACGTGCTTGTAAGATTTCTTATAGCACTTGAAATACCAAAAAGAGCAATCCAAATGCACAACGTCACACGTCGTTGTTGATAACTCAGTGTAAACATGATTTACACCAGATATTGCTGTTTATATGATCAGTACTGAATGCTTGGAGTGTTCAACTAAAAATAAACCACTTCTAGCTATAGTGAATCAATAGTTCGAGGAGCAGTCGAGAACAGTTTGTTCTTATTAAGATAAAATTCATTTTCATAACGTTTTCAGGCAAATATTTTGTACAAGGAGAAAAGATTTCGTACACTCAAAAATAACATGTCTTACCTGTACGCTGTTTAATACAAAACGTTTTTAATGATATTTCGTATCTTTGCGCATTAGACGCATGCATGGTTCACTGAACTTCTCAATGAGTCAGATCTCCGAGTTTTCTTCGTTTTTTTTTTCATGAGAAAAAATTTCTTTTCGAAAGCTGTCTCAAACATAGGGACACCCCTTACAAGGTAATATAAATCGAAACAAATGTAATGTTCGATGGTGTAATTTTAGTTCCGAGTGAAAAACAAGTCACATTGTGAATATATTTTCGTCGACGTAAATAATTGAGACGAAATATCGTAAGATGTATATATTGATTATGATTTGTGTAAAAAGAAAAACTATACAACGTATAGTTTATTTACAAGACTTCTTTGACTACTATCCTCACAATTTTCTTCACAATCAAAACTTCTCAATGAATATGAATTGAAAAATCCGTACGTAATATTTAAAGAGATAAATGAAATACTGCTCGCTGTTGAAAGACTACTAACATTCTATGAAGAAAACTCTATCCGTTGTTGTTGATACTACAAATCTTGTCAAATCTTTAGCTTTGTTTTTCATTTCTTGTAATTAGGTTATATTTGCGTGAATTTCTCTTCTGAACAAAAAACTGTTTGTTATTTTCATTAATAAAAAAATGCGGCTTGTTACAACGCTATTTATTATATTGTATTAGAATTCCTTGGTATTTCATCCCACATGCTCAAACACTGTGAAGGAAACTACATTTGTGAATCACTTTACAGCATTAGGAGCTGTTCAAAAACTACTGTTATATAACGTGATTTCAGACATATCTGTAATCATATTGTAAGATAAAACAGCCAGAATCCGCCTTCGATAGATGACGGATATAGTGTCTACTGTCAGTAAATTCGCATGGGAGACGAACTTAAAAAGTCTGAATTACAAGTTAATAATGGCGGTGACGTCAATAAGTTTGTATCATTATTTTAGAATTCATCACTTTTCAGTAGCTGAATTCGATCGAAGTCTGAAAGAATAGACTTTTCACTTGAAGGCGAGGGCGAAGAGTTACATAACCGTAATATACCATAAAGTACAACGCACAAAGCGGTTATAATATAGCTGATCGTCATATATAGATTCCACCAAATCGAACGATAATCTGATGGTATAGGTGTTGTTATTGTTGTCGCCTCTGGTAGCGATGAAGTTGTAGTAGAGCTGATTGTTACATTTCCGTAAATACATTGTTGAAGAGACGTATCATAACATACACCATTGCATATTTGAATTTGATTAGCTTCATAATGATTATACGACAACGTAACGTTACATATTGTATTATCATCAGCACATATTTGGTGAGTTCCAAGACACTGTTGACCGCATGATCGAAAACCACGAGTACAAAGTCGGTTGTTGTAACATAGACTATATTTAGGATGATAACATATCGAGTGCGGACGTTGCTCAATGCCCCAATCATCGTATTTTACGATACACAAATCTGCATCTAGGTCACACAAAGTACCGTTGAAACATTTCTCTGTCAATGGATCGTAGCATATTCCAGAGCAAGTGTTATTATTAATACATCGAACAGTATTATTAATACATTGCCCAACTGAAAGATCATAACATGTGCCGTTGCACGATTCGACTGTAGTCAAGTTTGACATATGAGTAAGATACCACTCTGGGTTAGGTGAGTAACAGACTGTTTTATTATTATTGATACATAATTGGTCTGGTCCTAGACATTGTCCATCGCATAAACTAGATTGAAAGCAGAGTTTATTGTTGAGACATACTTCAATGTTGGGATTGTAGCATCGTAATCCTGAATCATATCCCATGCCCCATCCAGTGTAGTTCACATTGCACAAATCTTGATACAGACTGCACAATGTTCCGTTCAAACATTTGAGTCTGGATGAATCGTAGCATCTTCCGGAGCAGTTGTTATTGTTAATGCACTGAATAGTACCATCAATGCATTCGTTTACTGCAGAATCATAGCAATTACCATTACATGATTCAATCGTAGTGAGTGTTGATCCACCGATGTACAGAGAATTACCTATAGGACGATTGCATATTGTTTTATTTCTGATACAGAGCTGGTCTCCTCCAAGACATTGTTGACCACACACACTATGTTTGTAACAAAGCGTGTTGTTGACACATATTTGATCGTTAAGATTGTAACATTGATATGACGGTGAATTATATTGCGGACCCCATTCATTGTATTTAACAGTGCACAATTCCTCATTGAGTTCGCATAAAGTACCATTCAAACATTTTTGTGCTGATGAATTATAACATGTACCAGAACAATTGTTACTATTGATACACTGGACCGTATTATTAACACATTCTTCATCGACAACATAGTAACATGTACCGTTACATGATCCAATCGAAGTGAATCTTGATCCATAATTATAATACCTGTATACGTTAGGTGACTGGCATATTGTTTTGTTATTGATGCACAGTTGTTTTCCTTGGAGACATTGTTGACCACACACTTGATATGGATCGCATAGTGTGTTGTTTATACATGCTTGACGCTTAGGATTATAGCACTGATTTGATGGTGGATCATATACTTTTGAAGCGTAAACTTCGTACTTAACAGAGCATAATCGTTCATATCGTTTGCACAATGTGCCATTTAAACATCGATGTGTATCTCGACTGTAACATTGATCTCGACAGGCATTAATACATTCAACAGCTCTACCGGAGTTAGTACAGTTCTGTGTAACTGGGTCGTAACAAGTATTCTCGCCGCATAGTAATTGTGACTCAGGACAAAATTTTACAGGTTGTGACGCATTCAAATGATCGGTTAGAGCATTTGATGCACCCAAAACTGCAAGTAAAATCCACAAATTCGCATATCGCACCTCACCATTTGGTATAAACATGACTTGCATAACTCACTTCTTCGATACTGTCGAACTAAAACAAACAAAGTAGCCTCTAACCGTAATGAATTCAATCGTGCAATCAATATATGAGTCACTCTCATGAAAAAATCTGATCACGCCATATAGTCGTAAGTGCAACATTAGTCACGTCTATATTTATATTTCATACGAACTTTCGGTACGCGAAGAAAATTTTGATGTACCTAAAAGGTTCATGATTTATTCTTATATGCACACTGTTTCATTTGCAAATGCTTGCTAATTCTTTTGTGTGTTTTTCTTTCGCATTGAATCGCGTATGACTCAGTCAGATTCCTTCCGTTCTTTCTTTTGATAATTACAGGCGTTAAAAAATTTTATGTGGAAATATTTCTCATCAAATAGCATAAATCGAAAAAGACATAACATACACTATAGTGTGATACTAGTTCTGACTAAAAATACTGATCAAATTATGAATATTGCTAAATTACTAGAGAATAAACCTATGGTTCTTTCGTACATTTCTTAACTAATGCACTTTCTCACTTGCGACATCTATGTTGAAGAGTATCAACAGAAAAAAAACTAAATCACCCTTGCATTGTAGACTCTTCAAGTGAGAATAAATGTTATCGCTAACTCTTATCAGTGATGTTTGCCGCTTTTGGTAACCTCGCTTTAAGAATGTGGTCAACTTCATAGCAACCTTGAAGGTGATGATGTCTTTGCTGCAACGCAAAACGGCAGCTATCTTCAGAATATTGATTTCAATCTATGAAAATACCAACGAAATGAACTTCGATTATCTTATCTAATTTATGACATGCAAGAGCGAAGAATTTGAATGAGTACAAATAGATCTGTTGATAATAATGTTAATATAAAAAATGCGAGTCAATACGTAGTTTGCGATGGAGATTGGTCGTTTTTGATCAGTTGAATTTGATCAAGATCCGGATGAACCGATTTTTCAGCTGTAGCCAAGAAAGGATGAGACAATCGCAGTATACAATAAATCACCATGCAGAAAAGGATTATTATATAGCAGTCAATGCTAGATAAACCCCATAATATCCAACGGCGATCAGATGATACACGTACTATTGTCGTAGAAATTATTTCTAAATTTCCGCGTACACATCGGTGAACAGATGTATCATAACATATCCCATCGCATAATTGAATTTGATTTTGATTGTAAAGATCATACGATAACGTAGTATTACATATCGTGTTATCATTAACACATATCTGATTATTTTGTAGACATTGTTGTTTGCACGAGCGCGAAGCACGATTACAAAGTGTGTTGTTGTAACATAACTGCTCTATTGGATCATAGCATTGATTCATATACGGAGAATATGTGTCACATACTTGTTGACGTAAAGTGCATATTGTTCCATTCAAACATTTGTGTGTTGACGAATTGTAGCATGTACCAGAACAGTTGTTATTATCCGCGCACCGGAGAGTATTGTTAATGCAATGTTGAATTGAAGTATTATAACATATTCCATTGCATGACTCAACTGTAGTCAATGTTGATCTGAAAACGTAATACCAGTTGCCATTAGGAAAGTTGCATACTGTCTTGTTTCTGACACACAATTGATTTCCTTCAAGGCACTGGTGATTACATACTTGTGATCGATCACAGAGTGTGTTATTCAGACATGCTTGATCTTTAGGATTGTAGCATTGATTTGATAATGAATTGTGTACTTTTGAAATGTAGATATCGTACTTAACAGTGCATAACTGTTCGAATAATCTGCATATGGTACCGTTTAGACAATGATGTGTGTTTGAATTGTAACATTGATTTCCACAGACGCTGACACACTGAGTAACTTTACCATGTTCCGTGCAAATTCGTGTAGCGGGATCGTAGCAAGTCCTATCACCACATAATAATTGTGAACCGGGACATACTTTCACAGGTGGTGATCTACCTAAATGATCCTGCAGAGCATTCAATATACCAAAACTCGAAATCAGAATCCATCCACTCAAGTATTGCTGTCGACCACTTAGTGTAAACATATTTTATCAGAGTCGTTTAGTCAAAACGATTGAATCGTAAAACACCGCTTGTATATGCTTTCTTCCTATCAAGAAGAAAAACAAATTCGGAATATAATATTTTATACTTGTTTTATTAAATACACACATGTGCATTTACTGTTCTAACCGAACTTGTCACCACCTTGGTGCAATGGCGCGAACCAAAAAAAATATATCATGCGTTGATGTGACTAGCCTTGACTAAAATGTAAAAGCCATGCGTTGATTTTGTTTTCATATGCTGATATAATCGTAACGAATGATTGCGCACATATTCTCAATGAAATATCTATCTACTACACGTATTCTCTTTACAAGATTGATTTCACATGGTTTATTTTTTCTTCTGAAGATTTGGTCGTTCACAATAAAATATTCAATAAAAGCGAATAGAAGAAAGGCGAAAGCACTAGAGAATTCATAAGTTATCATATTTATATGTCAGTTATGGTTCGAAAGAAGGCAAGTTTATTTGCGAATGATTCTTGCCGCTTGATCATTACTTCTAGGCTGAGCAGCTGCTATCTTTGTTGCCGGGTTTGGTCGCCTGCCGCCTGCAGAAGTCGAATTACCTCTACCGTTCGTTTGATTTCCATTATTTGAAAGCATTTGTATATCGGAAACTTTATTTTTTGTATCAGGTAAAATACAAAACAGGACCAATCCAAAAATTCCTAATGCCAATCCGACAGACAGGATTGCATAAGTCAAAGGCGCAAACGACCATTTGAAAACTAATAAGACAATGATCAGAGTGCTACAACTTATGATATACGCAATCGATAGGACAATTGTTTTTTTACATTTACCGAGATACACGACTACAGCTAACATTGTCGTGAAGAAACCGATAAGAGCAATGGCGATACCCAATTGATCCAAAACGCTTTTGGTTGATTGATAGCGAAGGATCCACGAATAACACCAAGCAGTAGCATCGGATATATTGCTCGGGAACGTAGATTTCGTTAATGGGTCGCAAATAAACGTGGCATTTTGGGTTATGGGACTAAAATCACTACCTTTAAAAACAAAACAATCCATCGTATATTCTGGACAATCGTCACCGGGCACAATTCGAACATCTGTCAAGACGCAGCCTTGAAACATGATCACAGCTGTGATGGATAAGATCATTCCACCAATGAAGCAGCAAAATATTCCAACGAAAAGAATCGATCTTTGTTTGATCATAGAAAATAGCGATTTTCGCTCAGAGGATGACCCACCGATTGTACCCGAAAGGTCTTTAATATTGATCTGTTGCCCATTATATTGATCGTAATCATCGTGTGCTTTTGTTGGATTGACGCCAATAACTCGCTCAATAACAAATTCCTGACCCTTCTTTGAGCTGAAGAACGTCGCGAATACACCAATGATAGCTGTAAGTACCAAACCGATAGTGATGCCGTAATTTGCTATGGTGTAAGTAGTATAAGACCACCCCATCTTGTTTCTCAAAGAGAAAAGTATACGAAATGACTTTTTCTCTCACAAACCGTAATTTTCTTCTATATTATCAAGTGGCAAATGTAATTTCTTTCGAGAATTTTTTTTTCTGAAAACAATGAGCAGAAACTACGGTGATAAAGAGAACAAATGCAAAGCAGATCGCGTATATGGCAATAAAAATAATGACTTCCTTTTCTTTGTACTTTTAACTGTGACCCTTTGTATTTTGCTGTGTATTTACTCGATTGATTATGTAAGCGAGGAAATGCAAACACTTCTACTTCGTTGAATAAGAAAAAAAGAAAAAAAAAACTCCGACAAATCTTGACGAGCAATTGTCGATGTTTGTTTTTCGTGACATCCTCAAATTCATATACACTGAACAACGAACACAAAGCATTCTCGGAAAGAGTTGCATGACACTTTTATCATATGCGATGTGATTGTCTGAAATTTATCGGGGTGGATGAAGATGATTAAATTGAAGCAACATGTTGCTTTCTTCCATTGTTGTGAAATAACTTTTTGCATATTTATTTGTACGCTGCCGACTTTTAGGTAAATTAAAACAGAAAATTCAATACAGCAAAAGTCACACTCACTACCGGAAATTTCTTTTATTTAGAAAATTTACTGTAATTGTATCTTCACTAGCGTTTGCCGTCAAATTCGTCATTCAATAAACACATTTGGCGGATAGAAACTTTGAAGAATGACGTAGAAAGTCTAATAAATTCATAATAGGTCTCATTCCAATACCAGAACACTCTTTTAAGGTTTTCAAATCGGAAAACACCTTAATTAAAAAGAATAATTCTACGCATTTACATTTGTTGTTCGTATTGTCAGTAGAAATGAAATGGATTCGATGATGTGATTGTTTTCTTGTCGGAAAAGCATTCAACTAGAAAAAAAAGAAGAGAATTCTGAATCCATTTCTTATCAAAAATTCACATATGTAAGATCTTTGGTAAAAATGAAAGCTTTATTTGATTTGCCTTTTTATCAACCAATGTAAGATTAAATAATATTCGTTATCTCTTGTGTTTCATGCAGTACAACGAAGCAAGTTAAGAAAAGGATCGATTGTTTGCGAGATGACGATGTCTACACAAATTAGTGAGTTTTGACGAGGAAATTTTTCATCGGATTCAGATTTTATTATAAAGATTGTTCGATTCCTGAAGCATGTGGAACATTCGGCTATTGTGAAGAGTATTTCAATGGTACAATGGCATGTGAATGCAAATTTTGGTGGACAGGAGCACGATGTGATGAATGTAATCATGTTTGTCTGAAAAGCTTTATCGCAAGAGAGAAATTTCTTGTTTTAGTGTCAGGCAGTGGCAAACAAGTGATTGCTCTAGGTGCTATTACAGGTCTTTTAGTCATTGTTTTCTACAGTCTTACTGTATATCGTTGGATTAGTAAGAAATCACATGAACCAACAAAAACCTATACTGATGAGCCGATCGGTGATACGTCATTTGTGGTGCATGTTGCAAAAATCAGAGCAAAATGTGACAGTTCATCTTGGATAACATTGTTCGGAACAATAATTCTCGCTTTCTGTGCGACGATGATTAAATATTTCAATTTGAAAAGTATTCACACAGAAATTATCGATAAATTGAATAATAATCAATCGCTATTCTATAATCGTCCTTCGTTTTGCAGTTCAGTTTATGTCAAAGCCGGATTCAATGTCATTACTTTCCCGATCGCTTGTTTTCTTATTGTTCTGTTCGCTTTTATCTCCAAACGACAATCATCGAAAGCAAATCAATCTTGTAGAAATTACATCGCTGCACCGATTCCATTGGACTTTTTCACATGTGTTCGACGAACATTTGCCGCAGTCATATTCGCTCTTTTTGCCGATGAGCTATCCACCATTGCTAATCAACTTATCAATGGAAATGCCGTAACAACAGATCACGGTTTGCTCTTTTTTTGTTACGATCTTCTCGAACGTTTCTTTCTCAATTGTATAGGAATAATCTTCAATTACGCTCTTCAAATTTTCCGCGTTCTAACCATAGGTTTTCGATGCTATCCGATGCTAGCAGCTGTGCATATGAACAGTCGACTTAGTCTTTTTTGTGCCAGTCTTTATGCTTGGTTGGATTTCGGGCTAATCATCGCATCGGATGATGTTTGTCAGAATCATTATTATCTCTCCGATTTGAATTATAACAAAGATTTGGAACTCGAATACATCGCGTATTTTGACTTTTACGGCAAAGGATCGAAGTTGATTTTGCTTCAATTGTTAGTCGATATTCCACGGTATTGCTTTTTGGGATATATCAGTGCAAAACTGCCGAGTTTACTTTGGGAGAGAATTCGAGTGAAACGAATCGAGTTGAAACAATTGACGAGCGAAGAAAGAAATCTTCTGCATTCGTCAGAAATGAATTCAACGGAATTTCGATATGTGGCGAGACTGTTTCGCTCGAACAATCAGCTGGAATTACCATCAAATCGGCTTGCACGCGTCTTTCGGAAAATTTACTATTGGCGGGATGATTTTCAGTTTTCTTCCCGTGTTCTTTGTGTTTATGCGTCGATATTCTGCGTTCTGTTCTTCCTTACCACACAGGTAAACAACGTAGGTCTTTGGAAAATTAGAATTTTCTAAAAGTTATTTCTAGGCGTGCGTTCAAGTTGTTCCAATTCTCGACACACTTCACAATACTTTGCAAATGGCTCTGGATGCCCTGACGAAAGATGAATCTCGACTGAGAGCGTCAAGTTCGACTTTTCCACTTCCTAATTTAGTTGCACCTTTTCTGATTGCGATGTTCGTCGCTGTGTTTGTAACCGTAACACAATTACTCGTTTTGTTGACTTCCATTCGTCGGAATCTTCTACAAGCATTTCGTGGCAATAGTACCGAAATTACACCATATGATCCTTTGAAGAATGTCAATTATGCTGGCCAAAATATCCATTTCGGCGGGTATCTAATCGCTTATGTTCTTTGGGCGTACGTTTTAACTGCAACTTTCACGATGATTGTCACTACGATTATTAATGTTCTCATTACTTATGGATTGATCAGACCTGTTGAATCCGTTGTGAAACTCATGATTCCGCCGATACTCTTTGCGCTGTTTCAAATGCATCTGAATAAAATCATTGCTCAGTACGTGTTTCTTCAACAAGCCGGTAAAGTTCTATCGATGAACCATCGTCGAATGGTGATGATCTTCTTATATTTTAACTTTTTTCTCGATGCATTTCTCGGTTTGATTTCTTCGATCATGCGTGTGATTAAGAGTGCAATCGGAGGAGTGATTTATATGTCTCGATTGGATTATTCTCCCATGGGTCGAAAACTGGAAACTTTCGATGCAGGCTTCAGTGCATATTGTGCTTTTATTCATATTGAATGTGCGCATCGACATCCCGTGTTACTTTACTTTGCGAGTCTTCTACTTCGTGAACATTTGTACGGAACGGAGGCAACGCATTGGTCGAAAGCGAAACGTCGATGGTATTTAGCTGTATTTTTATTACGAAACCCAACGTTGATCTATCGACGAAAGAAATCGTCTGTTGAATCTTCAATGAATCAGCGGATAATGTTCATCGGCAGAAGAAATATTAAAACGATGAGTACCGACGACTCAAGAACAATAAGAAAAAACAACTACGAACGATTATGAATCATCATCAGCATACTCCTAATTTGTTCCCTTCTGCGCTCAAATACGGCCAAGACCGACATCTTTTTCTTTTTCTTATTTTCATTGGACTGAAAAGATCCTCAATAAATTTCAATTAGTGATGTGATTGCGATGATTGATTTATTCGTATGTGACTTGACATCCCGAGTCATATACACAGTGTATATACATGAGAATGTGCTTGTGTTCGGATGCCTCTCCCTGTCGTTCTCTTACGTGCTTGCTTGTTGCTCTCTTATCCATAAATGTCATAAACACATATATTTACTGTTGCATGCGTGTCGCACAATGAATGACGCGTTGTTTACTCTGCGGAAGATTGTTTTGCTGTAAACGTTGAGGTAACAATAATCTTCCAATGGCTTGTATAAAAAAAGGTGTTCTGATCTTCTACATTCCATATTTTTCTTTTGTTTTTGTTTACACAAATTACTTGTTTAGATTCGAACACAAACAGAGAAGGTACACCGTAATTAAGCTTCTTATTGACATCAGTTAGAGTGCAGCGACTCGTGCGTTTTTTTTTTGCTTTCTTTCCATATAGCCTACGTTCTCATCATGTTTCAAATTGTATGACTGCACATTATTTACATCTATGAGTATTTATTTTCTTTCTATTGACGAAGACATATGTAATGCATATAGATTTCTTTTTTGCGACGCATTGATTAGAAAACGTCGACTTCATAACAAACAGACGTCATTGTGTCGTACTTTTACTTACTATTTTTCTTCTCCTTTCTTTGTCGTCTTCTCATTGGTTATTTGAGTACTTTTGACTACTATAGAAACGCGCATACTCGTGGATTGCTTGTCTAGATTTTTGTTTGTTGCTTTCTTTTCATAATAAAATCCAATATAACTCTTTAGATAGGAATCACACGCCTCACGTCCAATATTGGTGATGGACAACAATGAAATTGAACGTATGGATGATGACGACGATGTTCAAATTTCAGTTGAAGATAATGGTGGAATACCTCATGATGAAATCTCTGTCGAAGCTACTGATGATACACTTGATATTTCAATCTTGCCGGAACCTATAAATCAAGAAGACGTGCAACGACGAACGTTTTCTCATTGGCCACATCGCTCTCCCGAATTTATTAATCAAATGATAGAAGCTGGCTTTTATGGATGTAATGTGGGTGATCGTGTTATTTGCCTCGAATGCGATCTTGTCGTACAATGTTGGAGACCTCATATCGATGATCCATGTGATGTTCATCGAAGACATTCACCTAATTGCAAATATGTAAGGTCAAAACTATTAGGACTTATAACGGGCCCATCATCATCTCCACCACCACCACCACCACCTCCGCCACCAATGTTTGTGATCGTTTTCAGTTCAACAGTAAATCCTGCCCTACAAATAAAAAATGCATCACATAATATGTATCTCCACCAACTTGAAGGAATGGTACCAAAACAAGGGCAGCGCCCTGATTATGCAGAAATTTCAAAGCGGGTGGAATCATTTACCAGACGGTCTTATCAAACGTCTCCATCTGCTCAGAATTTTGCTCGTGCAGGATTTTTCTATACCGGTGTAAAAGATATTGTCACTTGTTTTTACTGCAACGGAACTTTACAAAACTGGGGTGCCAGTGATAATGCAATGATTGAGCATGCCCGTTGGTTTCCAGGTTGCGGCTATGCTCATCAATTATGTGGGAACGATCTACATCGAGCAATTCAAGAGGCACAGCGTCGACAAAGTACATTCTTGAAACTTCTACGCCTGCTAATATATAATCTGTTTGTTTTTATCTATTTAGGTGAAACCGCAAGTAATATGTACCAACTTGGGAATTTAGCTAGTAGATCAGATGCGAGTAATTTGACTATCAATAGGCTTTTAACCATACCTGACGAGAGCACTTTAAGTCGATTGGTTGCTGCTCGATTGGACTTATCGATATCGTGCAGATTAATAGACGAAGGTTTCAAGTTGTCCATTATTAAACGATGCTGGGAGGATCAATTGAAAATTAAGGGTAGGTGTAAAAGCTATTGGATCCTTCTTATTCTAAGCTTGAAGTTATTTTATAGAGCAGGACTTCGTCTCAGTAGCCGATATTCGGATTGCTTGTTCAATTGTTGAAAAACAAACTGAACGAATTGCTGGTAATAAGAAAAGTATTCTAATACTTCACGATAGCATGGGACAAGTCCAACAAAATACAGGTATGATTAAGGTTTAATTGAGCTTTCCTTTTCATCTCTTTTTCTTCTATTGAAGCTCATTTCCACCAAGTGTTACAGAGACAATCGACTCAAAGGAACAGAACTGGATCAAGTAATCGTTTGTCTGAGACAACAGTGCCGTCAACAACGCCATCAATGACGGAAACAACAGTCAACAATGAAGCAGTAGATGCGCCAAGAAACACCGACGAATCGTTGAACTTATGCATTATCTGTCTGTCAGAAGAGAAACGATTAGCCTTTATACCATGTGGGCATCTCGTCGCATGTGTTCCTTGTGGTTACTCACTGAAAACGTGTCCCATGTGTAGAGCGAACATCGATGCATTTGTTCGAATTTACCTGTGATTCAAATGAAAAGGACCGTGCTCACTCTAGTATACACTTTCAGTCACAACGTATCGTGATTATGACTGTCGATTCCAGTGTTCTCGCTCAAAGTACTACGCTGGGAACGGCACTATCAAGTATTTCTATTGATCGTTTAACGAACTGTTCTTATATGAATTTATGTTTTTTATATATTTTACTCCGGTTCGATAATTTAAATGCTGTGAATTGTAACCAGGTGCCGTAATGCTTGTTTATTTTTTGAAGTTTCTCCATAAAATTATATATATATATAATATTTATTCCTGAATAATTGATGCTATGTCTTGTATTCTTCACTAACAGGAAAGTAATAAATATACATACAGATATACATAATACTTTGCTCTCAATTTCAATATTGCTAAAATGTTTGGTAAACCTGAATATAGTTTAAATGAATTCCGGCTCAAAGTCGTTGCACATTCCTCAGTGCACTATATGATTGATTGGTGGAGCGAAAATACTTTAACTTAAAACCGTACGAGCGTTTATCTGGGGGTATAGGTGGTCCACAAACACACACCTTGAAAAAGAAAAATAGGTAAACTTCTACGCTTCATTGCACGTTCGTACTTTTTTCGTACTTGGTATTTTTCAGTACTATCTCGTACTTATGTTCATTTAAAACATGACAATCGTTGTTATTTCCACTTTTAAACATCGTAAAATAAATCGCAGATTTTTGTTGTCAACGTTTAAAGAATGCAGTGAGATCGTTTCACATATCTTCATTATACAACTTCAAAACTCGACAAGTATAGCTTGAGGGTGTGTCAATAATTGCATCGAGGAGGCAAACTTATTATCTTCAATCGACGTTCGAAATCATCGCGTTTCTCTCAACGAAAATCATTCTGGTGATAAACTTTCAAATTTTTGGTGACAGTAGGTACGATTAAACAAATTGAATAGGAAATACTTTATTGATTATTGAAAAAAGTTACGATAAATATATGAGATGTTTTAGTAGAAAAAGTAAAGCAACTATTTTTGAGCACTACAACTGTGATAAAAAGAAATTAGAAAGTTTATAAAAAGATGTAATGGATTAAGGTAAACTCCATTCACTTTTTCCACTACGACGACGACTTAAACCAGCATCTACTCTTGGTATAATGTAATCATAATCATAATATTTTCCTTTATTTAAGCGACCATAGGTACTCAGTCTTGCGTTGGTGCAAGTTAATCCCATATTTGTATAACCAGGTTCACATTGTTTCAAGCAATTTTGAGAAGCTTCATCATCACCTGCCAAACATTCCGATTGATAGCAACCGGCACTATCTACTTTGTATGTTGCACTTCCTACACAAGCACGTTCATGATTTGAATCAAACGGGCTCTGTCTAGTTGGATGAGTACTAATGCCATCGGGACCCCATGTAAAACGATCTTGCAGATCAGCAGCTAACCAAGCTTCATCATCCCCATCAAGACTAACAAGATTTTCCCAAGTGTGCATAAAATCAGCGTCTGATCCTGGATTACGGAAGTCAGCATAGTAAGCACAATTTCCAACACCTGCTGGACCAACTGAGTTTTTATCATGATAAGAGCCGTGTGCAAGTTTTCCTACATAGATGACTGGATGATCGCCAGCGCTATCGAAACCGCCAGAACCAGCACAACGGCCTGTACCTGATGGAGTACATGGAGCCTTGCGTGGACCTGAGATACGTGTGTAATGTCCATCGTGTTGAAAAAAAGTAACAGCAGCCACTTTACTGTTATCTTCAGTAAGAGTAACCATAACATGTTCCCAATCTCCATTATGTGCACCTTTTCCTTCGTAACATGGATGTTGATAACCATAGAACCACCAGTAAAGAATACGGATTTGTTTTGTATCAGCACGAAGTCTATAATAAGTTGGACAACCACCGTCCTTAAGTGTATTTCTGTCTGTATTTTCTTTTCGAAATGAGCTTGAAGTGTCTGCCTTCATGGCATCGTAATAAGTTTGAGCAGACATTGGATATCCTGCGGCAGCACGATCAAAACGAATTTCTGGAGCAAATTTACTCACGTATGAACGATATTGTTCCTGTAGTGCGGCTCCATCTACGCCGTCTTTTGGTTTAATGCCTAAATCGATCTTAGTGTCTCTTCTGAGGAAGGATAGAAGACGAGCATATGGTTGGCTTTCTTCTGAGCTCTCCATCGAGTTGATATCGAATGGTTGTGCTGCGAAAAAGTGGCATGCGAAAATAAGCGCAATAATCGAAACTGATCTATTCATTTGAAGTTTTGGTTTCAAACAACTACAAAGAAAAAACATTCAATAGGTTATTATTCTAGTTTCATTACCGTAGTACTTACTTTTTCTTAGTTCGAGCTATGAGTGAATGAAATTGGGACGATATCAATGCTCTATATATACAATCACGATTGTACAGTGTTATTTATAGCGATGATAATTACAGCCTTCAAAATACGTTTGTTTTTGAGCTTTTACGTTGAAGAGGACATCCTCTCAGAACGTACTAAGTGCGTTTCATGCTCTAGCGATTACTACGTATTAGAAATTTTGGCCTACAACGTATAGATACTTCCTAACGTTCTTTTTCCATTCGTTCCTTATACATTCTGTCTTGAGAAGTGAATAATCGATCCTCAGAATGACACATTTCGACTTGAAGGAGGTTATTGTTATTTTGTACTCAGAATATATTGCTTAATTAATTTACAGTATGCACTGACAAGTTATTGTGCATCGTATATTCAATTCTTTACTTCATTCTTGAACTGTGAAATATAGAATGATTTTATTAGTTTTCAGCTGAAATGAAAAACCCATAAAAATACAATGTATGCAATCTTGCCATTGAGAATCATAAGATTGAGTTTGTTGTTTACTTCTACTTATTGAAAAATGTAACAATAGAAACTGTCATTAGGACAATAATGAAATCGCAATCGCTGAGTCGGCATGGACGTTCATCTCAAGGTCCAAAGAAGATTCTAACAACGGTAAATACGCGGAAAATATTCTCTAATTAAGCATTTTTTCTTGTAGGCATCGGTCAATGTCAGACGCATTGCACGTAGTGAATCTCCAACGGTGCATTCTCTTCCATCTACCAGTTCTACAGAGCGGGTTAGATATTTGAATGCGTCATCTTTCTTCTCCTAATGATTATTTTACCATTTGTTTTATTTTCATATCAAGAAAATAAAAAACAATCGTTATATTGACGATGTGGCTATTTCAGCACTTCCATTTACCGCAATTCAATCGGCCAATCCTACGACTATACACGATTCTCCTGTCGTACAAATCAAGAGACTTCCGTCGTACCTTAGAGCTATAACACCTATAGGTGAATCGCATAGCGATTGGTTGGCAGTGAGTCTGAATTCCGTATTCGGTACGATTTCCTATCTTTTTCGTGTGTACAGCCATCTACTTCTGATAAGCGAAAACAACATTATCGTCGTCGCCGCCGTCGTTGTGGTCTCGCTTATTCCGGTTGGTGTTGCTGCTGCTGTGCAGGTGGCATTCTCGCACTGATCGTTATTCTTGCTGGACTCACTGCCTTGCTCATTGCACTTCTTACAAATAAAGGGACAACAACGACTACCACCAGCTCTACGTCTACAACTTCAACTTCAACTACATCCGGTATATCGCTCTTCTGACGTTCGCGTTAAGTCATAAACAGTTTTCGTTCTTTTTTTTAGCCACAACCACCAGTACAGAATAAAACTGTTCTTTCATGTTCATAATAATTCGTTCTTGTTGTTATTTTTTAGGTAGTAGCACGAGTTCAAGCAAGTGACATATTTTGTATATTCATATTTTTCTTCTATATTTCGTTCTTTTGATTAATAGCTTCAACAACTAGTTCTAGTACTTCAACAACATGTAGGTTCTCTTTTTCATGACTATTCTCTGAATATCCTCAAAATAACACTTTGTCTCTCTTTTCCAGCGAGTACAAGTGAGACAACTACAAGTAAGTGAATATCCCGACTTCATTTCCTTGTATAAATAATTTCCGTCTATTCTCCAGCAACTTCATCAACGGCTACCACAAGTAAAATATTTCTGTTTCGTTCATTGTATATCTATTATTTACATAAATCTTTGATAAATCAACAGCAACTACTCCAGTACCACCCTGTACACCAAATCCTGTCGGTTCTGCCAGTACTCTATTGACAGCATCGTCTGGCACCACTTCATCATATGCGTGTTACGCGTATGAATGGATACCGACTATCAGCGGCACTGTCACTCTTACATTTTCATTTCAACATAATCCGAGTTATTGGTTTCTAGACGATGTTTCAGTATATAATGGAGCTATTCAAATGTTAAGCAATGGAGATTTTGAATCAGGTTCGTTCTCACCTGGATGGACACGCGTCGCACCGACTGGTTGTGGTTCAGGTACAACAGGTTATATTAGTTCATCCTATCGTCGAACGGGTAGCTATGGCTATGCCGATGGATGTAACTCGCACACCGATCAGCTTAGCCAATCGTTTGTGGCTACGGCAGGACAATCCTATATAGTCAGTTTTTGGCTTAAGTCTGGCGCTAATGGATCAGGTGTATCAATTTCTGTCACTCTTTCTTAATTCATTGATGTATACGATAAAAATATAAGTTTTGTTCTATTTGTACTGCTCAAGTACAGCAAAGGATGCTTACATTGTTACATAAAGTAAACACAAAGAAGCACGAACAACAGGAAAGAAGAAGAAAAAGAGATGTTCGCATTTCCTCGAGGAGTTGACTGTACAGTCGACGTTGTTTGTTGAATCGTAGGCAAAGTAGTATTGTCAGTTAATAAATTTGTCAATCGAAATGTCCACACCCATTGACTTTCGAGTAAATGAAGTTTGATATTCGACGTATCAATTACAATACCACGACCACTATTCGCTGTTTTCCATTGAAGAGAATCACCATTTGAACCAAGAATTGTTACAACTGTGCTTGCTGAAGTCAACGGGGCACCCAATATGATTTCAGTGGTATTCTTCGGCCAGATAAGAAGGAAAGCGTACACATATCTACCATCTTTCGACGAAGTATACCTACCATCGAACACATATTGGAACTTTCAGACAGTTATAACTAAACTTACCAAACATCAGAATTGATTGTATCATTTTGATATTTCCATGGTACCGACAAATAAATTCCTTCGCCATTCACTTTCAACCACGATCCCATCTGTTGCAGACGTTCTTGAAATATTGGCGGAATTTTTCCATGCATATTAGGACCTACGTTCACCAATGCATTTCCTCCAGTGCTGACCGTTGTCACTATTTCGCTAAGTACTTCTTCAATCGTCATATAATCGGCAATGTTCGCAGTACGACGATATCCCCATGATTGTTTATCAATCTACGCAAAACAAATCTAGATGATAAGAAGAAATTCTTGCTCATACTGTGAAACAATTTTCCCATTTGTGATCGATCAAATGACCCGGATTAAAACGATCCGAACAAGTGTAGAAACCACCATGTTTGCACGACGTTTCACGACCCCATCGATCGTTGGTCACCTAGACACAGATGGACTAACCAGTTCTCAGTCGTTTTCTTGACTTACAACAGTAGTTTTCACTGGACTTTCATTGTAGAGCCAAGCTAAAACTTGTGTTGCATTCCAATAGGCAGCGTATGGTTCTAAATCAACATATAATATACCGGAAGAGAACAAGCAACTTTTATCAACAGACCCCATTCACCATCAGACCAGACGATTTCAGGCTTGTATGTTTCAATCATTTCTTTCAATTCAGGTATGGCTTTTGTCTACAGAATTCAAATTTAGATTTTAAATATGAAGACTTAATCCATATTACTTTTGAATAATCTTGAGAGGTAAAATTTTTCGACTTGTCACGTAGATACAATGGATTGAACCATTCAAAGAGAGAATAGTACAAACCAAAAACAAGATTCGTTCGGTTTCGAACAGCAGCGGCTAATTCTCCTGATAAACAATAAAAGTTGAGAGAAAAATAAAAGTCAAATCTCTAACCAACTAAATCTCGTTTGGAACCAACATGCATCGAGTTCCAATTGAATGAATATGTTGATGGCCACATAGCATAACCTTCGTGATGCTGTAGACAATTGTGTTTTCAACGTTACAAAAACTATTCAACTCACCTTGCTGGTAAGTACAACATACCTATAGAAAAAAATCTGAAAATAGAGTTCTGTTCTACGTAGTAAACCCACCAACTCACTTGGCACCAGACGCAGCGAATAGATCCGCCCATTCGTTTGGATCTGAAACAAACAGAAGTTATCAGTGAAGTATCGGACGGTAATTTACTATAGAGATCTGCACGAAACTGTGCACCAAAATCTGCATACGTCCAATCCGGTGGATAGTTTGCTGCCATATAATCGATAACGCTTTGGTCCGGATTTTTACCTTTCCATTCCCACCACATCCTGCGGTTAAAAACAAGAAGTAACAGACACTGTTTATTAAAAATAGTTTTACCATTCGGAAGCAATAGCTGGAACACTGTAGAGTCCCCAATGAATGAAAATACCCACTTTGCTTTCGTCATACCATCTCGGCAAAGGACGTGCATCGAGAGATGTCCAATCAGGCGTATATTGTTGTACGCTTAACGATGAAAATGAACAAAGAATAAGAACAATAAATATCAGTTTTGCCCAAAAGAACAACATGTTGTTATTATAAAATCGAAGGTGAATGTGTGAATGCCGAAATAATCTCTGAAAAAGACTCCATTCTTTCATCTATTTATTGCATTAAAATCAATAAAGAAAATGAAGTAAAGTGGATACGTGCAATCAACAACTGAGTATAGTTATAGAATAAGATAAAGGGAGTCGTTAAATCGCATTTATAACTTTTAATCACCATCTTAAAAGATATAAATATCCAAAAATTGTATTTTTCTTGTTTTTCAATAGTTACGATCGCATTGTCAACAGCAATAAACAAGTTGAATGAGAACAGTGACAACAACAGGAGTCAAAAGACAAACAAACTTGGGAATGAACTGGACAGCTAAAACCAAATCCAATAAGTCTTTTCGTCAAATAATGAACAAGCGTTCTCCCTGTTCGTGGTTCTCATTTAATAGTATATATAAGCATCAATCTTCTAGAGTATACACTTGTCATAAGCAAGTGAACACCAAAAGAATATGTCACTCTATAAGAAATATTCATCATTTGTTCTTATAGCAGAGTACTTTACATTCAAGTGTGTATGTTTCTATGTCTCTTGTGAACAAGTTCGTCTTTCTGCGAATCCATTTCACTTGTACTTTGTTGCAGAGGAATGCCGTCAAATACTTTTCTTTTGTATGATTTGTCTGTCCCATAGGCAAGAAGGGTGAACAGGGACTATACATTGTCATACAATATTCAGCCGATGAACTCACGCAGTAGTGATTTTAATATCAGCTTTCCAATTGACAAAATTACAGTTCTCATCCATGTAAATATTTCTGTCCTTACGCTTCCAAGACTAACCAATGACAGAGTTTTTGCTTTCATCTGTAAAAATGCAGAAATAGATTAGATATTTTCGTTGAGATAGTCATATATAACATAGCGAAGTACTTTTAAAAAATTTCAATTTGTAGATGAGATATTCTCTATCATCATTTTCAAGTGAAACAATTTTTCTCAAAGTAGAGTATTGTAATTGATCAACTTGGCCATTGAGATTCTCATTGACAACATGAATGTTCGATGTAACTGTTTTTTTCACCTCTGTATATGATTCCTCACTTTTCTAGAAGTGGTGCTACCATTTTCAAATTTGCCAAATAATAGACGATTACATCAAGTCGATTATGTTCATTTGTATCAATTCATGGTCGCTTAAACGAATAGGATAACAGATTTGTTTTGATGACAATCAAGCTCACTAGTATACATGTGAAAAATTTACATGAGTATAGATCGACATATGTACTAAACAGTTAGCCGTGGACAATACTTAACAAACACTGATTCTGAGTATATGGATTTATGCTATTTAATCATTTCGTCCGCACTGATAATGGTCGAAAAGTTTCAGTAGTTTGAACTCAGCAAACTACGCTGAGCAGTGGTGCAAATTGGATCAAATAATCCAACGATGCCATTTCCCTCGACTCTGCGATACTAATTATGATTTGAACGAATGTAAAGCGTTGTGTTTTCAATACACATAGTGTTTCAACATGAAAACTCTGCAAATTGGCACCGAAAAGGAAGTTTCAGATTGTTACTCGAAAAATGGCTCAAAATAGACAGGCTGAGATATAATTTGGACGACTTGAGAAGACAATGAAGATGAGTGACAAGGCATCAATTTCTCATCAAATAATATGGTCCCGGATTTAACTGAGAATTTGTGAAACTACGGAAACTCTTCAAAGCTTATTGGTGATGTTGTTTCAGATATGCACCTCGGGGGCAGTTCAGACAAAAATCTAACAACTATCATCAGGTTCTTTACAATCGCTTCGAATAATCGAAAGGAATCTGTAGTGTACTCATCATTCATTCGCTCGTACTTATAGTTAGGAATAGTACATACATAACGATCAAAGCGAAGAACTGAATTTGTGATGTGATTTTAAACTTTTCACTGTTTGTTCAAATTCAAAATATCATCTGTTCATTATTCGTTCACTATATGTAATGTTATTATGAATAACTTTGTACGTATTAGTTGAGAGAAATATATCGTTTTCTTCGGATACTTCAATATAATTCAGCGGTGTTGATAGAACAGCATCCACCAGTAACTAATACTGTTTTATTGGATAATATCAATGCTGTATGCCAATATCGCGCAACACTCATCGTTCCAGTCGTTGTCCAATTACCAGTTGATGGATCATACAATTCAGCACTATTCAGTGAAACACTACCAGTCCATCCACCAGTAACTAAGACTTTTCCATTTGATAATATCGATGCTGTATGCAAATATCGTGCAACACTCATATTTCCAGTCGTTGTCCAATTTCCAGTTGATGGATCATACAATTCAGCACTATTCAGTGAAACAGTACCAGTCCATCCACCAGTAACTAAAACTTTTCCATTCGATAATATCGATGCTGTATGTGCATGTCGTGCAACGCTCATATTTCCAGTCGTTGTCCAATTACCAGTTGATAGATCATACAATTCAGCACTATTCAGTGAAACACTACCAGTCCATCCACCAGTAACTAAGACTTTTCCATTTGATAATATCGATGCTGTATGCAAATATCGTGCAACAC